CCGTTAGTTAAGAGAAAGAGAGCGTTAATACGAAGAGTAAGAAATATTTTGTTAGTTCGAAAGATACTTTAATACTGAAGCCTTAAAATACTGGAATGGTTGTACTGATTACTAATGATATGCAGGTTCGGTAAATATTTTACGAAACTTGACAATTGGACTCAACAATAATTGCTCTTGAGTGTTGACCAAAGAATTATTTGCCCAGAATATTCTTACCTACCATTTAACATTTATAAAAATGCCGTTTATGAAACTTTTAGTGAGCCACTAAGTCTTATAATTGGTTTACTTCGGTTTAAAAGGGACAGCTAACAGCTATTACTTTTGAAAATGAATAGAGATATATTGCAAATTTCTATAACGTCAGCCACTAATAGTGAATTATAGGCAAATAAATTCCTTGCTAAAATAAAACTTATTGCAAACTTAAAGTTTTGACATTAGAATCCTTGTCCTCATACATTATTTTAAAATCTTTAAATCATAGGTCATCTTTGTTGTTGTCCAAAATAGTACATAATATCCACAATTAAGAACAGGTACTATCTTTAATAAAGTCAGTTCTAGAACTTAAGAGGAACATAGTACCTTATTCACGTAAAAATCTGAAAAGCTTTTTTTATATTTGATTGTGTGAATGGAGAACAGTTTAAGAATATTGTGTGAAAATTTGAGATGAATCGGAGCAAAATTAACGAAGATTCAGCGGTTTGAGTAACCGCGCCTTATACATGACTCAGCGCATCAGGAAACACCTGCCCGGCCCGAGCGCAAATCGTTTAAAATCGTATTAAAAATAAAGTGTTTTCAAAACCCATACTTCAGATCTTATTGATAAAAACTCTACTGAATTTACGCTCTTAATTTCTATTCGTCTAGTTGTAGGAATTTTTTAAATAATTTATCCTATTTTAAGCATTTCTTGCGCATACTCAGATGTCAAAATAAGAGCGTCGCTAATACTGGCTGACGTTAAGTCAACCTGCAATATGTTTCTAATTAGCTAAACTACTTCATACGAATTAAGGACCACTTTTTAAAACACATGTATCCTTTTTACTTTTGAAGATCTCCTCGTATAATTTTATATGCTTGAATTAATATCATGTTTACAGTTTTTTATGTAAATTTTGTTTTAGTTTTCATAACTTTTCATAAAAATGCGATTTATTCAGATAACATTAAATTTTTAACATTCATTATAAGACATATTTTAGTCACTGTTGTACCATTCGGTAAATTCTCGACTCAGTAACAGACCTTATTGCTGATATGCATTTTGACGCCACTGGAACACGAATATCTACTCAAACAGTTATAAATGGACTTCATCAAGCCCATCTACGGTAGCGTAGGTGTCTACAACGTGGTATTCATTTGCGAGCCAATTTTGTGGTACAACAGACACGGGTTTCGAATCCTGCGGAAGACCATATGAATTTATTTGCATGGTTCTCTATAGGAATTGATAGATGCCGTATTAGCAGAAATTTAATTTCTGTTGATATGACATCCAGATTAAAAAAATCGCCATGCGTTACCGTTTTTGATAATGGTGGGTGAGGTTTTTCTCACTTGTAAGTCAAATGGCGCCTTCAATCATCTTTAAGTCGTCCCGGAGCGCCACGGCAAATAATAATAATAGCCGTCCCTTCCCCTACACAAGTCACTCTGTTGGCTTCTGCGGTTGAAATTCACGCGTAAGGGGGTGAATTAGGGAAACTATTATTATTAGAGTCAGAGCTGAGGCCTCAGTTAATCTGTATGCACCAGAGAGCTTGATTAAATTTTGCTCAAAATCATATCAATTGGGATATGTATCAAGAGTCTAGATTTCGACTCAGTCACAATGATGCATGTGTACGAGCATGAATACATAGAGGTGAGCGATATATTCAAGCGTTACAGAAACTATTCATTTCAGGTGATTCACTTTTGTCTGGGGAGAAATAACTACAACGGGGCGTGCATATCTTTCAGGATGATGTAGTAAATGTTCATAGATATTTGGTATTTTGAAGATATTGTAGAATCCTATATATGCCAATTTGCCGCAAAAGAGGGTTCACAGTTTATTCTATAACATGACAGTGTGAGACCCCACACTGCTATTATTATTAGAATCGAATCGAATAATATTAAGGTTTTAGAGTGGCCTGCAAACTTCCCCGGATCTAAATCCTATTAAGCATCTCCAGGATGTTTTTCAAGACCTCCTAGAAATTTAGATTAGCTTGGGAGAAACGCTTCAGGAGGAATTGAACAATGTTCCCCAGAATGGGGGGGGGGGGGCAAACACGTTACTAATTTTGTTCTGAATATTGTTCGTAGTGTATTTTTTTAATAAAAATTATGAAAAATCTTTTTTTTTAGATTTTTTAGTTTTTATTTTTTGATTTATAACTGGGGGGTAGGTGGCGGGTGTCGGGCAATAAGGGTTAAAGCCCAACTTTTTATAGGTTCTAAAATGTATAACTATTAGAAATAAAGTCTTAAATATTACCACTACCTACCAGATTTAAACTCTGGATGCGCCACTGGTTACAGAGTTTAAAACGTCTGGATAATTAGAGGTAAAACTCAAGTACTATTACAGAGATATGTCTTGAATTGATATAAGAAATGACAAAAAAATAAAAATTAAAGAAACTAATTAATTGGTGGTATAACATACAGGCTATATACACCATAGCATATGAATGAGGTCTATTTATCTAAAAAATTTATTTTGTGAAAACAGTTAAATATGTGTAATTAACTAAGTTTGTCAGATCACCCTATATATTTAAGAATACTTGTAAAATATGGTCAAATAACTTTCATAATAAATTTTGTTTCGTATTTTCAATAATAAAACTGCTATCGATCAATTACGCACTTATGGGACACCCTGTATATATAAATAGGTTAGAATGATGTATCGTTGGATAGGTAAATTTATAAAGAATTTTATTCTGAAATAATATAAAGGGTGTTGTATTTGAAAAAATTGAGTAAATGAAACTTAAAGTTAGCCATTTTAAGACATGATTCAAAACATTCTGTATAAAATGAACTATTACCCTATTCGTTAGCTTGGTATCTAATAAGTCTATATTTTAAACGATTTTGAAATCATTTCTAACCTAAATTATCATAATTTTATTTGAAATCTGCAGAATTCTCTAATTTCATAAAAAAAAATAATTGCCTGGCAATCCTGTAATATTTTTTGAAAATATTCTAGGGTTGAATACAGTATTAACTAACCATGCTAAAACAGAAATAAAATAAAGGGTGTTCAATAAAAAACATTCATTTTTTGCCAGGCAAAAGTGTAACACCCCGTATATACAAAAATATTCTTTAAAGGGCCTTTTTCAAATCCATAAAATTTTTATTTGAAACTTGTTTGCGTGTCTTTAACACAAGTTGAAATATCAAGCAATTACGCACTAATGGGACACCCTGTACACTGCATTTAAAAGCCTAATGTTTTTCTGAACTAATATCACTTACAGAATTTAAAACAATATGTTTGATTAAAAGTTATTAACAATTTTGAAAGTAGTCCTCAATTCGTTTTGAGTAGTTTATTTCTGTCAGAACAGTAGACTTTTTGACCTAAAAAGGTGTCAAATAATTATTTAATCCGCCTCATTCACCTGATCTGACCACTTGTGATTTTTTCTGCACTGTTCTAAAAGAAGCTTGGGCTGCTTTTGGTCAATTTTATATGAATAATACTTATATTTTTTTAACCATTATTGCAATAATCAAAAAAATATTCATGGGAAAACGAGTTATGATTTAAAATTGATAAATAATTTCTTGTGCTAGAAGCAAAATAAATATAAAGGTTAATTCAAATCCACGAGTTATATTGTAAAGTTTCTAAAAATATTTACCGGGTCTGTATAGTATTTAGCGATTTAAAATAATGTTTTTACAGAAGCCATGCTTACTTTTTTTAATAAGTTAAAAGCCACATTGGGGTATATTCTGTATAAATTTGGTAAAAATTAACCTTAGGTTATAAAAATAACTGGATGTTATTTTTAATTTTGTATTCTGTATTATTAGGTTAAAATTATATGTCAAATATATTATTTTTCTTAATTTTAATGTACCTTTAGGTATATTACATCGTTGCCATGTTTATTTTAACTGGGGCAACAATTTTAACAAAAAGTTAAAATGTTGGAATACTGAGTAGATTTGAGTTAAAATTTAAACGTCATAATTATAAATAACTTTTTCCTGGTGGTTAAAAACTAAAACGTTACGAAATAGGCCGCATAATCAATTTAACAAATTTGGGCTACAGAAGACAAAAACGTGTTGTTAAGTCCATATTATTTTAGAATATACCCTAGCATGCCTCTTATATTAGAGTACGTTTGATTCCACTAATTTGTTATTGTTCTTACATGCAATATTACTATATACTTTCTACTAATTTCTAATTAAGATTTAGGATACTTTTGAACTATTTAGTGGCATTTTGGCTTAACTTTTTTTGGTATATATTTGATCAAAGTTATGTACATACTACGTTTTAAAATATTTAAATCACAGTGTTCTTCATTTCATATTTAAGTCAATTTTTATTTTTAACGCGAAAATTTACTAGAAAATTAAAAGAACTACTTCAAAATCATAAAATTCTTGTAGAATACTTTTGTACTATTGCTCCATTACTTTTACTTATTTTTTAATATTCGTATGCTGTACTGTTCAAATTGATTAGGTCGATTTCCGAAAAGAGACATTCCCCTTATCGCGTACATTTGAACTACTATTCGATTGCAAATTCAGACTAGATTTATTCGGTATTAGCAAATGCAAATTATGTTTACCGCGTTCCACGTTCCTACGCGATACATTCGGACTAGCCAGTAAATTTAAATTGCTCTTGCTAATATCGGAATCATTGTTAGGTTTGTTCAGCGTTTCTATAGAGTTAAAGGTAGCCATGGGATTACTGTACAATGGGATCAGTACGTTTTGAGATTCACCTTGATTAGATTCTGGACTAGGAGGTATGATCGAAGTCTGAGGGACGTCTGGTTCTATTGTTATTTTCGTATCTTCCGTTTCTTCTAAAACGTCTTCGCAGGCTTCTTCGTTCAAGGTTTGAAGAGCGCCGCAAATCATTTGATCTTCTAATGTTACCTAAAGAAATAAATTATTCATAATATTGCGGTTTAAATTCAGTCGTTTCTTAGAGATTTTTCTTAATTTTCTAAATCAGAGCGAGAAAAATGCATGTCATTTAGATTTGAAAATTAAGTAAAAACGGCTACAAAACGTGTATAGAATTTAAAGACTTACAAATTTTTCTGGTGGCAATGGAATTTTGACTCCTCCAAATATTAATTATTTTGTCTTTTTATATATTTATTTTGAAAGGGGATTATAGACATTGATATATGGAAGTAAATAATTGAAATAACGAAACCGTAAAAACGTTAATGAAGGTTTTCAATTAATTTACATACCTGGTACTACAGAAAGGCATGTTAAAAAAATACCACATTAGTACTAATACAATTTCATATACAGTGCGGAGAGTGTCTTAACCCCTCCGTTATTTGAAACAATAAAAGTCCCTTACTTAATTAAATCACGAAAATAGCGCAAACATTTTAAAATAGCAAATAATAACTAAAAATTGTGTTATTCAGAAATATTCATTGTAAATTACCTGTTTTTCAATAATGCTTTGTTTCCTTTGACGTCCATCATCTTGTTTTTCTTTTTCTACAGAGCTAGCTCCTTTATTTGTACTACTATCTAAAAAATTTAAAACAATATTGATGATCCTTAATTATAATTTTTTTCGACCACTAATTGTCCAATATGAACTTGTTACAATTAATAAATTGTTATATAAAATATAGAAAAGTGACTAGGTATGTTTTTTTTTTTTAATATTGTTAATGACAACTTTAACTGAAGCTCCAAAAAAATATTCCAGTAAGTATGTACGTTCAAAATTAGGGCAATAATAAAATATCCAAAAGATGCTTTAAAACAAATTTGAAAATTAAATAAAATTCCGATATTTTCTTTTTTTTATTGTATTACTTGGAGTTGTAGCAGTGTTAATTTTAGCATGAAACACTTACTTCGTCTTTCTACTGGTTTTAATAATTTAATAGGTCTAATTTCGTCTTGACGTAGCACACTCGTAATTTCTTGTTCTCTGAGAATAATCACCATAACTTTAAACATCTCCCAATCTCCAAAAGTCATTTTCAGCAACTGAAAACATAAATTCATATTTATTTCAAGAAACAACACGATAAGGCATTTTTATAATATAAATATGATTGGATTTAATTATTTTAAACTTTAATAAAGGATCAATGCTATAAAAAGTTGTCTTACCCTTTTTAATTCCTCCAAATCACAATGTAAGAGAACCCTTCCATTAATGTTGTGTTCTCTAATCGTTTTAATATAATCTCCAACAGAATGGGCATTTATATCACTCATGCCGTTTAAGAGCTTCACAACCCCGTCAACATTCAATGTCGATAATCGAGTCTCCAAAATTTCGGGCTAAAATAAAAATCAATAAATAAGGATGATTCTATCGGTATATCAATAAGCAAATCTGTTAGAGATCCACTATATTTTTTTATATATATTTACCTCAGCTACAGTTACGGGACCTAAAGGCATCTGCGATCGGTAGATCATCGGATCCGTCCAAGATTGCCAACCCATCATTCCTGCCGGTGTCATTGGCCCTACTAGCGATGAGTGATGATGTTGATTATGCTGATTTAAAGAAGACACTTTTGAATTCTGTCGTCCTCTTTTTGTCATCATGGACCTGGGCGACGACCAGTCTGTCATATTGGTTACGGAATGGACATTCTGTACGGACATGTTATTGCCACTTTTGACCATCACTAAACCATCGTCTTCTAGACACTGCATTTCTTCTGCAATCATATAAGCAATCGTTAAATAAATAAATAAAACAGATGTAGTAAGTATACTACACATTCCGGTGCCGCCGAAAATAACGCTTCTTTTCACGGATATATATTCTGTCGTGTTAAGTATAAGAGTCGTATTTGCATGCTTGGCAGATTTTGAGATTTTCGGGTATATCACATCAGTTCTACGTCTATTTATAAGTTCAAAAGATCGGATAACTTTCTTCACCGATCAAAAAATCATATTATTTCTTTCTTATTTCTTAACAATGAAGTAGATACGACAAATCGTTCTAACAACGGATTTGCCGCGTAATCTGACAGTTTGAGTATTTTGACGCTTAGACTTTGTACATAACCTCAAAAAAGTATTTATTTACTTCTGTTCAAATAGTTTTGTATGTTTCTTTACAAAATAGGTAAACTGTGGCCTTAAAATTATTGTTGAAGTGATACCTACTTTATAGGACTTAAAAAGAAAGTAAGTTAGTTGTTATTCTATATTTGATCACATCAACACATCAGTGTTTAGTCGGCGAAGCCTTTTATTAACATAGAGCCTAAAAACAAACAAAGAGCTGGCTACTAAATTAGACGAATTTAGAAAAAAAAATGCTCAAACACGCTTAACAAAAAATAATGAAAAAAAGTCGAAGATAAGAAAAATAAGCATTTATTTCTGGCAATTAACGGATTTAGAGCAAAAAACTTTTGTGTTAAATATGACGGAAAGGAAAAATGCAAAGAGAAAGGTATCTTTAGATTCCGAAGGTCAATGAGTTTTACCTACAGGCTCAAAGATGTGGTACAATAAAGGAAATATGCAAAATATTTTTCTTGGCAACTCTTGGATATTTGCCTAACAATGATCGAATTATTCGAAGTGCATTCTCTTCCGCCCTTGTGGCAGAAAAATCTCGACGAAGTAGCGCTAGTTCATCGAAAAAGATAGATCGTGCCATAATCAGACAGCATATAGAGTCTTTTAACCCGTCAATTTCTCATTGATATACAATGACTTTAAAACTAAACATCCAACTATTGATTTTTCCTATTATTTATATAGAGATGTCATGAGTAAAATGAATATTTCATTCGCTGCACTTAGACACGAAGAGTGCTTCACTTGTGCAGCATTCCAAAATCATGAAAGCAGCACCAATCACGACTCCCAAGAATTTGGAAAATGACTGCGCCGACTGTAAATCATGGAATAAACATATTGGAATGGCGAAATCAGCTCGACAACAATATCAAATTGACGCTGAAGCTGATAATCCCAACATACCGGCATGTTCAGCAGATCTTCAGAGGTAAGATATATTTATTTTATATTTTTTTCCTCGGTGCGAAATGTTCAAGGAGGTGATTTTCGTACCTCGTATCATTGCATTCAATAAAAGTAATGTTCCAAAAGGAAAAAAAAAACACAAGACGATCCAAAGAAGACATCATTAGTGCTTTCTATGTTTTTTTTTCTGGATAACAGAGATGCTCAAAATGTTATTTTGTAGTTGGACAACTGTGCAATCCAAGATAAAAACTGGGCCTTCTTTAGTTTCTGTGTATATCTAGTAAATTCTGCTGACATCGCTTTAAACTCTCTAACGCAATCGTTTATGCCAGCCGATTGTTTCCATCACCAGGTAGCAGGGTCGACTAGAGGGGGGGGGGGTAGCCGGGACCAATTCCCGGGGCCCGGACTCAAATGAGGGTCCGGCAATGGTATTAGGGGGCCCGGCAATCGCGGCAAGGTTTTTGGTTGGGGACCTTTTTTTTTCAATTGAAGTAGGGGAGGAAAAGCTTTTCCTTGAAGACCTTTTTTTTTTAGAAAATTTAATTGAAGTAGATGAGGAAAAGTTTTTATTTGAAGGCCTTTTTTTTGTTTAGAAAATTTAATTGATATAAAGGAGGAAAAGTTTTTTTTTGTACAGAAATTTAAGTAGGAGGAAAGAATATTTTTTTTGTCACGGGGCACGATCTAGAACATTGTCCTGGGGCCCGGCCTGGCTCTCGGCAAGGTAGAGAAGTCCTTGAAGCAAATGAACAAAGTATATGATTTCGGAGATTACAAAGATGCCGAAAAAACGAACTCGTCGAAAGTGAAATTGATTGAAATGAAAATTAACAATTTTTTTAATTTAAATTAAGCAGAATATATCCTCGGCCATATTTAAGTGATATGGTGCAGGTTAATTTTGAAAATGGAAAGCAGTCATTATCCTACAAATGCAAATTTGATCAACAAGAGGCAACAATATTACATTTTTTAGTAGAAAAACACCCAAAGAATGGTTTGGAAAAGCCTAAATGCAAGACTGTCTCTCGTGGCATAAGTCCAGCTAAAAAAAAAACTCTCATAAACCGACGTGGAATTATTCCCATTACTAGAATAAACTTTTGGAATAATTTGCCTGTTTCCAAAAATCCTGTACAAGAAGACGAGTAAATTAATAAAAATCTCAGTTGACAATATTTCTGTGAATTTATTAGGCATAAGTGTTTTTGTTTTTAGTTACAATTTGAAATGTTGCAGTTAAATACTGAAAATGTTTAAGTTACACAGAGTAGTTTATTAGTTTTTGGGCTCCTGGGAATTAAACATATTTCAAAGACCCCTATTTGAAAAAACTGATGTTATAATAAACATTTAACTCGAAGTGTCGTAGTTTTTCTATACAGTAGATGGTCATTTACGACTAATGTAACATTTTAAAATTCAATTTAAAAATGTTATTTTGATTTTGTGACATCCTGTATAAAATAGTATTCGATTCAATTATCGCCACACGCAACATTCCTAAGAAAAGGAAATTTCGTGTAGTGGGGAGTATAGTTAAGCAGACGATATCGACATTAGGCTTTATATTTTTGTTTCCCAATATTATCTTGTAGTATCTGGCTGTGCAAGTGAAAACGAATAGAAGCAGCTAGAACTAGAATTAACATTTATACCTAAACTTCAATGGCTATATCTTCCACCTTTGACATTGGAGATAACTAAAGCAGTTTCTTGAAAGCAGAAATATAGAAAAAAAAAACGAGATTTGATGTTCGTGCTCGAGTAGAAAAATTACAGAAGTTCTACTGTTTCTTAAGGAAGTTGCGACCCAAAGCAATATAGTGGTAACTAGATATATGGCTAATTTTAATATTGGAAATATAAAATTTAAATTTACCAGTTCAATATTTACTTGTTTCTTAGAATTTTCACTAACTTTTTACTGAATTAACTAATTCATTTTTATAAATACATATGTTGAATCTTATTTTTTTTAAGGTTACAACAATTCTCTTTTGCCTAAATTTTATTTAAGTTTTAATTAATTTCCTTTTGACAAAGTTAGAGTTTATAATTCTCACTAGCTTTCTAAAAATAAAAAATAAATATTGGCGCCTCTCTCTCTCTCTCTCTCTCTCTCTCTCACACACACAGAAAACTATTATCCCCAAAAGTATCTATTTGAAAAGCCGGATTCACGACTAAGAAAACTATATGGTCAATGTGCTGATTTATTTTTAATTTGATTAAAGATAAGTAATGTTTGTGGTTAAATTTCTATGAGCTAGTCAACATTTTTAAAATTAACATTTTACTGCAAAGTAATGCCGACTTATTACACTAATCATGTTAATATTTTAGTTGCTCATTATTAAACATATTTCACGTAAAACGGAAAAACTCAAAGTTCGTGTCATAGAAACGTCGAGCGACCGCTTCCCTCCTGAAAACAACTAAAACCGCAACAGGCATTGCTTTGTATAAAAATAGCAGAGATAGAAAATAATTTCCAGTACTCTAACCTTGATTTTGCTTCTTAAGGAGAACGTCATTCTTGGACCGGTTTCGTCCTTATTAGGACTCATCAGCAAGGAATAGACAATATTGACTCCAGTGCCTAATGGAGTTTGTTAGATGTGCTGACAAAAGAAACATAATAAGAAAGGAGGTATTCGGAATAAAATGTATCCCTAAGTACACCTGTAACAAACAAATCAAGGAAGACATGGAAACTAGTAGAAGGAAAGGAAGAGGCAGTAAAAACGTAAAGAAATACTGCTGAGGAAATAAGTAGAAATACCGAAAGCAGTAAAGCCCACCCACAGATCGAAAAAAAAAAACGAGAGGGGCACATCAGATCCTTACCAAGATTAAGAAAATAATTATTAACTAACAAACAAAGAGAAAATTATTAGTATTCTTACCCTTTATTACTTTTTTCAGGTAGGGATCTAAATTAATCGTGAACGGAAGAAATATCTTAAGATCACTAACTAACAAACTTGAGCGATGGTAGCCCAAAAATATGTCGAACTTTTTCTCGTCCCTATCCAACTCCAAAAGCGGTTCAGTATCCTTCACAATAGGAATATGTGGCCGAATTCTAAAAAAAAAAAAATATATATATATATATATATATATATATATATATATATATATAATAAGTATCTTCTTAAAATAAATACAATTATTTTAGTGTTTTATTTGTGAGAAATATTACTTACTTGTCGTATATTGATTTCAAGGATGTATTGTCGTCTAATGATTCTTCATACATATCAAAATGATGAATAATCCATGATGTTCTGAATGGCCACTGTTCGGTAATATTAATCCACGAGGCTAATCTATACCAGTTAAAATCTATTTGGAATGCTTTAAGTAATCGACCTGAAAATGTTTTTTCAATAAAACAATTATGTAGAAAGAAGAATGAGGGAACATCCAATGTACAATAATGAAAGAGTAAAGTTATTTTAAAACAAAAAAAAAACAAGAACATGTATTTATTCGTCGTGAGAGTCATTTTCGACCAGACCGGTCCTGCTCTAATTCCCTAAGTCCTTCTCTACCTTATTTGGACCTCATACGGCCTACACTTTTCCGATTATCTAGAATATTCGATGAAATGAGTGAACTTTCGAAACTCCCGTATGGGACGTCTACGACCGCTGGTTCAGGACCAGTCGACGAGCCATCTAGATAGACAGCGATTCGAATAGATGCAGTCTATAAAATTGAGAAGGAACTGGGCCTGCATGTTCTAAGAACGTTTGGAATATTCGTGAAATGCCATATATGTGTATAAATAGCTTAAGTTTACCGTTAAGAATCAGTTTTTAGTTAGATATTATGTAAATTGTCAAAATAAATTAGTGGTGTAGAGCAAAAAAGAGATATAAATTAGTGAGTGTGAATATAAGTTAATTAAACTTTACAGTAGAAAAAATAATATTACCTGCAACATAAACTACGTTCATCAGTCTTCTCATCGAGCGGGGATTTACGTCGCTAAAATAATCATCGGTAAGTAACATTTTTGTAAGGTCTTGAGCGCCACCTATGCGGTTCAAATTCGAACCAATAGAACTAGCTACAGATTCGGACATTTTGAGTTTTCTCGAACCTTTTCTGCCAGGGAATTTTCCCAAGTTTTCCGTGCTCGACATCAAGGCTTTATCGTTAGATAATCTCCTACTGGATGACTGAAATAAATACATTTGGCTATAAAATTAATTGGTTCATATTTTTGATAAAGGAATTAACACCTCATCAATGATTTAGATCTATCTCCACTCTGTTTAAGAGCCTTCCACGTTAGCTTTGAGTGAGATAGAATTAGTTATTTTCTTTAGTTAATTTCGGTATCAACCACTGAATTATAAATCATGAGTGTCTCTTTTTATGTTACTTACCGATCTAGCAAGGAAGCTGTTGAGATTTTCTTCATTTTCCGTCCACGTGCCTGTTTGCTTTCGGTGTGATAAAGCGGTGGCTTGAGCCACTTTGACTTTTCTCAATCCTGAATTCTGTAGGTAGAACGGTAGGTGAACCATATTGCTTAAGTAATTGTGTCCTCCAATGTTATTCTCGCTAAATAGTCTTCTAGTATTGATTTCTACAGCCTGTTGAAACATTCGTTTGTTTAATAAAGTATCTTATGACAAATATATACCTATCAGATACAGAAAAAAATTACATAATTACCAGACAGTTACATAACTAGTAGAAACGAATTTAAAATATCAACATCTTACAAAGGGTATACAAATATGGAAAATAACTAAAGTTTGATGGTTATCAATTTAAAGATGTCTGTAAATGGTTGTGATATCTTAATTGAGCCCTGAAGTGTTGTAATAGTTGTGAAGAAGTTTTAGATTAAAATTAAATCGGTAACTATTGGAAAACGATCTTACTGTATTAGTTTAACAATTTGTATAATTTTTTAATTCAAGGTAATTTCTAAAAAATGCTTCAGAATGTTACGATTCAGAATTCAACACATAAATATTGTTTACTATAGTTTGAACTCAAATAATAAAAGTCTTTTACACACGTTCCTTTTTCCAAACAATGCATTACTTTTAATGTTAACTTTAGCGAGTTGTCTTTCTACAAATTTTTACCGTAGTTCTTCCGAATAGATAACATTAAGCAATACACATAAAATTTTATGTATAAAGTTTTTATTTCATTATCAGATAAATCATACAAGTTCGAAAAAAGAACTGCGGACTGTAGGGTTTACAGCACATTGGTCAGTGCTAGCTCCGAGAAGCAGATGATCTGTTGAAAAAATAACATGTTGTGTAGATAGGTGGTAAATAATAATTAGACAAGCTGTAGTCCGTAATAACAAAAAAGGTAAATAAATAATAAATGATTATCCTACGGAAAGAAGTGGATCTAAAACTAATTTCTAAAGAGTTTCGCCTCGTTTGCAAACTCAAACACTAAAAATTGACAGTTATGTAGTATCCGTAATTACTGTGTAAAAAGATAAAAGTACGTGCACAAAATACACCACGATTATTTAAGAAACTAGATGTAATTATCTGCATGCAAAGAATCAGAAATAGTAAACTTTAAAGTTAATTCTTCTGCTTGATGAGATGTGTAATCATCACACTGACCTTCATAAAAAGGAAAAGTATGTGTATTTTATTGTCCCAGTTGGGAACGGGGTCAAGGGGTGGTGTGGAAGGAATGGTGACGGATATCTTAAAAGATGTTACTGATCCAACATTTGCCTATTGCTATAAGTAACCAATACCTAATTATACTTGCAGATCTGACAAATTATGGACGTAAAGACATATAAAGAGACGCTACTAAAAGACGCAGTCTGCACACCGGCAACATAGGCAATGAGTAAAGGAGATTTGAGACAATAGTTCTTTTGAAGGTAGAAAGTAATATGGTTTTTCCTGTGACATTCTTTTTAAGAAATGTCTGCTGCTATATAAGTATTTATATATTAGAGATTAGATCAAGTAGTGCATTACATTTTTTTTACTGATTGATGATGATCAAAAATACTATACACGAAGAATTAAACGTGAAAATATAATATGGCGAAGGCCATACTAGAAAACTTAAAACACTGGTGAACGAATGAAAGATATTAGAAATTTGTTTTAGTATAATCATATAGAGTATCGTCTTTATATACGATGTCTCAGGGGTGTTTAAGAAGAACTGAGAGAGCTAGGATTGGAATTAGAATTTGTGTTTATGCCGATGGGAGTCGGAAACTGATCGACTATAAATTTACGAATTCGGATATCAAAAAAATGTGAATCCAATTCTTAATTGGTAAGAGCACCGACGGCCACAGTCCGAAGGTTTCAGGTTCCATTCCTGGTCGATGCACTCATTTTTTCTTTTAATTTTCAGCTTTTCAATTTTTTTTAATTAGTTTTCACTTTGGTGCTTTACTGGTTGGATAAGTTGCCGACGTGCCAACTGTGCCTTTTAGTGGCGTATCATATAAATAAAACACCTTAAAAATAATATCTGCTTTGATTTTCTTGGGTTGAAGGTGTTCTTTTTTTAATTTTAAATAAGACTACAGTTTCAAGCCTTCTTCCGTTTCAAAATATATATTGCAAATTGTATCTGTCTCTATTTATTTATTCATTAATACATCCAACAGGCTTTATCAGCCCAATTATAGTACTGTATAATATATTTAAAAATACAAAGTTTGAGAATACTTACTTAACTAAATTACATTCTAATTACCTAATTTGATACCAATCTGTAACATTGCTCTTTAAATTGGTAAAAGAAATTAGAAAAAATATATCAGCAGAATATTGATTGACTTCTACATATTGTAGTTAAAGGATTGTGAAAGTAATGTTGTAAATTTGGCACTTGAATATAAAATGTTATATTTGACCTTGACGTAATACGTGGGATATGAAAATTAAATTCAGACAGCAGAGAAGATGAATCTATAGAATTATTAATTAATTTATAGATGAATATCAAATCTGCTATTTCTCTTCTTTTTCTCAGACTCACAAAACTGAATTCTTCTAGCAATAAATTATAGTCATAGTGACGAATAGGATAACGGCCATGTTTTTTAAAGTAAATATATTTTAAAATTTTTCTTTGGACATATTCTAATGCACTTATGTACTTTAAATGATTAGTATTCCAAACACAACTGCAATACTCCAGTTTGTTACGAACTAGTGAAAAATAAACAGAGAAGATGGCTTCTAACGATTTAAACTTTTTACAGTTAACCTAAGAATTTTGTTGCACTTTGTACAGTGTTTTCAATGTGTTCCGAAAAAGTCAGTTTGCTGTCAAATAAGATACCGAAATCTCTGTAATTATATATCCGAGGAATAACAAGATTATCTAATTGATAATCATATAAGACAGTGTTTACTTTCCTGGAAAAGAACAGGACTTTGCATTTGTTAGTATTCAAAGATAGTTTATTTACGATACACCAGTTATGTAAGTTGACAAGGTCGTTTTGAAGAGCAATGCAATCTGAGGTATCCTTTATTTCCCTATAAATTTTCATATCGTCTGCAAACAAAAGTTTCTTAGAGTTGATACAATGACAGATGTCATTAATAAAAATAACAAATAATAATGGGCCCAAATTCGAGCCCTGAGGAACCCCTGACGTTGACACGAAATTAAAAGATTTGGCACTCTTGTATTCAACATATGTATAACTGTCGATTAATTAAAACAGATTTTAACAGTGATTGCATACTCCTTGAAACACCAAATTGTCTCAGTTTCAGAAGTAATCGTTTGTGAGACACCTTATCAAACGCTTTACTAAAATCTGTGAAGATAAAAGATTTTTAATAACCAACTAAAAAAATAATAATTACTAGATTAAAAGGTAATGAAGAAGACACAAAAGAAAGACAGAAAGCTCTACAAATCACAAGTTAAAACTGTAGTTTTATTATAATAAAAAAACACCAACATCCCAAGAAAAATAAGGTGTAAGAACCATAAATAAACAAGACGTTCCTAAAATGGTAAAATCAAACATTTATAAATATGTCACAAGAGCATAAGTGTCATTTGAAATTTTTGACGTGACGGCGTCGACATATACCAGTAAACTATTTTATTTTTCCCGATTTTTTCACACGTGTATTTCACCTTGTTTTAAAAATAATAAGGCGGGTGACTTTATTGCTCAAAGGAGTAAGTTGAAACATGAAAAAACTATGTAATGAGAATGTGCAAAAAATAAATAGGAAGAAGTTTAGATTTTTAGAATTTGTAGTTCAGGAAGCATTTTAAAATGGAGTATAAATGAATAAATATTGACATTTAAACAATTAAATTCAAAATTAGAGAAGACAATTAAATTTGAAACAAGTTTAAATGGTTACAATAAATAATAATGGGATAAAATGTAGAACTTATTAAAAATTATTTTCCGAATTTCTTGTAATTGTAAGTATTCTTGGTATTTTTTACAGCTTCATTCCTATGGTTATTTTTTTAGTTAATTGCTTTAGAAGACATATGACACTTTTCCAATTAACTTTTTAAATAAGTTCTACTATTGTATTACACGAAAATTATGTAAAATAAATACACTGAGACAAAACAAAAAAAAAAACAACAAACACTTAAACTAACCTTCTCCCAAGCAACCTGCGAGACAAACGAAAAAATATTGCTTTATAACTGTGATGAATAAGCGTTTGCAAAAAAAACATATAACGTTACGAATAAATTACAAATACTCACCTTAGCAATAACGTGCGGATCTATGGCTAATATCACAATAAAGGGGGTATTCGCATCAGAAAAAAGCATATGTACAGTATCCAAAACAAGAAGCACCTTGTCTTGTTCGCAGCTATCGAGTCCGTCTATCACTACTACGAGCCTGGTCTGTTGGTAATTCAGGCTGTCCAGACATTTTACCATGTCCTTCATCAAATTTACCTTAAAAATGAATTCGTCATATTATGTTCAGCTTCAAACAGTTCAAAATAAACACCACGCAAAATTTAAATAGAAATAATTTTACACCAGAACGCATTAATGACACAATAAACATCAAGTCGTATCTTGTATTGCCTCCCAGAGACCTAATTTGAAAATAAATATGTAATCTTTTTTTTCTTACCTCTAGTCGGAGCGTTTGCAAAAAACCCTCAGATTTGAGTGTCTCCAATTTGGCAATGGACCTTTGCAAATGTCTTCTCTGCGAAAAAAATATCGCCTTTAACATTCTAGTCCAAGTGTACATGTTTGCCAAACAAGCGACACCTAACAACAATGCGGCCACTATCAAGATCATTTCAAGGGTAAATTCTGATACCACACTACTGAAAAGGAAGATAAAAAATAATATAAGATTAAAGAAAATATTCTTTCCTGGAAAATACACGAACAAGATACGAATTGTAATTTGCTAGTTTTTTGACGTAAGGGCATTATGGGGAGAAGATTTCAAATCAACTTTTACCAGAAATAAAGCCATTCGTAGTTTTCGCTCGGGCACCCAGTATATTGTAAAATAAAACAATATATAGTTACATACTTGTAACTTCATAATAATTTTATTAAGTTTAATTATTTTTCAGTAGGTTTTATCAAGTTTTGTCAAGTTTTATCAAGTTTTATCAAGTTTTATCAAGTTTTATCAAGTTTTATCAAGTTTTATCAAGTTTTATCGAGTTTTATCGAGTTTTAACAATTTTTATCAAGTTTTATCAATTTTTATTAAGTTTTATTAAGTTTTATCAATTTTTATCAATTTTTATCAATTTTTATCAATTTTTATCAAGTTTTATCAATTTTTATCGAGTTAAGTTTTATTAAGTTTTATAAAGTTTTATTAAGTTTTAAGTTTTATTAAGATTTATTAAGTTTTATTAAGTTTTAAGTTTTATTAAGATTTATTAAGTTTTATTAAGTTTTATTAAGTTTAATTAAGTTTTATTAAGTTTTATTAAGTTTTATTAAGTTTTATTAAGTTTTATTAAGTTTTATTAAGTTTTATTAAGTTTTATTAAGTTTTATTAAGTTTTATTAAGTTTTATTAAGTTTCATTAAGTTTTATTAAGTTTTATTAAGTTTTATTAAGTTTTATTAAGTTTTATTAAGTTTTATTAAGTTTTATTAAGTTTTATTAAGTTTTATTAAGTTTTATTAAGTTTTATTAAGTTTTATTAAGTTTTATTAAGTTTTATTAAGTTTTATTAAGTTTTATTAAGTTTTATTAAGTTTTATTAAGTTTTATTAAGTTTTATTAAGTTTTATTAAGTTTTATTAAGTTTTATTAAGTTTTATTAAGATTTATTAAGTTTTATTAAGTTTTATTAAGTTTTATTAAGTTTTATTAAGTTTTATTAAGTTTTATTAAGTTTTATTAAGTTTTATTAAGTTTTATTAAGTTTTATTAAGTTTTATTAAGTTTTATTAAGTTTTATTAAGTTTTATTAAGTTTTATTAAGTTTTATTAAGTTTTATTAAGTTTTATTAAGTTTTATTAAGTTTTATTAAGTTTTATTAAGTTTTATTAAGTTTTATTAAGTTTTATTAAGTTTTATTAAGTTTTATTAAGTTTTATTAAGTTTTATTAAGTTTTATTAAGTTTTATTAAGTTTTATTAAGTTTTATTAAGTTTTATTAAGTTTTATTAAGTTTTATTAAGTTTTATTAAGTTTTATTAAGTTTTATTAAATTTATTAAGTTTTATTAAGTTTTATTAAGTTTTATTAAGTTTTATTAAGTTTTATTAAGTTTTATTAAGTTTTATTAAGTTTTATTAAGTTTTATTAAGTTTTATTAAGTTTTATTAAGTTTTATTAAGTTTTATTAAGTTTTATTAAGTTTTATTAAGTTTTATTAAGTTTTATTAAGTTTGATTAAGTTTTATTAAGTTATTTTAGGTAATCCATTAAAATTAGTTAGTAGGGAAATGGTTTTACATTTAATTCTCACTTAAATATATTCAAACCTTTATTTAAAAATTAGCGTATTTAGCGCAGCGACCGATGAATGTTCTTGCACATCTAGCTCAAGATTTTAAAAACTTATAGTTTTAAAAAGCTCCTTACTAATAATAGTGTTTTGGGCCGCACATAAAAGCTTGGGCTTGGAGTATGGCTGTTTTAGGGGCTTAATTTACACTTATTTCGTCAATAGTATCGCGAGCATTAAGTATTTAACATTAAAGTTTTGTGCAGGTGTAGCCGTACACATAGACACAGATGTTCTAGTCATGGTTCAGTCGATTTCTGTAAAACTTGAACATGTTACTATTGTACTCTTAACCATCGATATAGGAATGTTATTAACAAAAATTTTACAATTACAACCTGTAATACAATGTAATGATTATAAATGTGAATTAAACTTACATGGTTGCAGACGAACTAACGTGAATGATATATATTACCAAGGCACCAGTTCCACTTAATATCATTAAAAAGGACATTTCAAAGAATACTACATAAGGTACACAACAAACTTTCCTCCATGTCCAACAAGAAGAACTTTTTACTGTAATTAAAAAAAGTTAATGCTTTTCGTAAAGAATCTAATATTGCACGATTTTTAAATTGGTTTAATATAGTTTTTCATACTTACTATGTTTGGGTTTGAAAGCACGATACAGTCTAGTAGAAAGAGATCCATATTGATTTTCTATTGCATCATATAAAGAACCGATCATTTGAACTACCGAATTTTCTCCACCAGCCGTACTACTAACTCTCGTTTGATCAGTGAAGAAAAATCTAAAAAATAATTATAATACTATTTATAATTTTAATAAAGGTAGAGTAAAAAAAAAACATTACTCAAAAAGCAAAATAATTCCGAAATAAAATGTGACAAAGGCTTACAATAATGAAAAACAAGAAAATCTCAAAGACCGTCACAAAATAATACAAGATACTATTTGCCTCCGAAAACCAACTACTCCTTTGGCTAATATCACAACAGGCATTGAATTATATCTAAATAAAAACAACAGAGATCGAACAATATTTTCAACAGTCTAACTTTGATTTTGCTTACTAACGAGAACATCATAGATATGAGCGATATATCGATACCGGTTACTTTTCACAAAAAGATAGAACAAAGTGTTAACTATTACCTTATTGGCTGCGCAGCCAATCCATCATTAGACGCTCCCGGCGGATGGCAAAACAAAATTTGCAACACCAACCTCAAGTTATTTATTTTTCTAGTCAGGCGAACGTTAAAATTGTACGCCCAGTCCCAATCGTACTTCTTACTGGCCAACCATATCATTATTAGTATCGAATAGCTGAGTACCAAAAATGCTATACCGACGCACAATCCGGTTACCCAAGATCGAACCGCCAGTCCGACTATGATCGCTGCTATAATCGAAATGTGTGCCAAAACTATGAAGAGTAATGTTGAAAACTGGAAGACGGGATCCACCCACTCACGGGCAAAATTTTTCATTTCGTCTAAAATAGATGTGAAATTTTTTTTAAAAATGTTTTACCACAATGTTTTCACAACTATACGCAGCATTTACATTACGTCTGTCATTGAAGCTGACAAAGTTGTCATATGTTTTGAGTTCGTTGAGAATGGGTATGGAGTGTTAAAGAAAATAATTTTGTTTATAAGATTTTTCAGTGACGTTATTTAAAAAGAAAGCAGAAATCTGCAACATCAAAAAGGGTAGTCACTACTTTGTGACGAAATCACTAAATTTTCCTTTAGATTAATTATAAAAATGTTTTGTTTGAGATAATTTTCGCCTGTGGGCGTTCTCAAGAATTCTCTATTTTTATTTCTTAAAAATTCTCGTTTTTGAGCATTTGCAAGAGCCTCCCTTGTTCAAAATATATAATAATTTATTGAAATTCGAATCCAGCTTTAAACGTTCAAATTCAGGTAAATTATCTGGTAATTTTCACAAAAAAATGTCAAACAGACATTTTTTCAATTCCCTGATTTGTAAATATTTGCTACTCCCATTCCGAACTAGCCCGAGCATAAAGTATAAAGCCGGGTTCCCCAAAAATTATCTTTTCCGCTGCTCTTTTTCCAGTGCCAAATACCGTCGAATTTTAATTATAGCCGTCTGTGGAGAGACCTAAGGTAGGAATATCTCATTAGTAGCCTTTCTATTAAAATTTATTTCAACGTTTTGTTGATCGACCGTCGCCTCTTAAATATTAAGAAGTAATTATTTGCTATAGTACAAGAAAATTAGTCTATATTAGTCCCGAATTTTGGGTCCTGTTAAGTAAGGTTTCTGAACTTTCGTAAGAGAGGCCAGTCAAGTGTTATCGCAATCTGATTTAGAGTTCTGAAGCGTAAGCCAAGCAAGTCAAGTGTTATAGCAGTCTTGTTTCGCCGACCTAATTTCACAACAACCAAGGTCCCCGAGTCAATAGATCTTTCGCTGCTCTGGCAATCAGTGAAATCGTTGATTCACGGCCTACCGTCGATTACCAGATAACGTTCTCCTTATCCGTCATTGTAATAGCTGTATTAAACCGTATACCATCGAAAATAATCTATTAATCGTGGACCAACATAATTAAAATATGTAAATTTTATCCAAGCATAATTTTTCCGAAAATCCGACCATAATCCATGGGCTACACCGCTTGACTAGCGCCTTTTTTTTAAGTTATCGTGAGGAAAATAAAAATTGTTTTCGATAATAATGCCGAGTGAAATATTAAGGATATTAGAATGACATTAGTTGTATTCAACCTGTTGATTTTGTAATTATTTCAGACACGTTGATTATACTAGTAATTAACTTTTATTCGGAATATTGTGAGTATAACAGTATCACATATATCTATTTTATGTATTGGCAAAGAGCTTTCGTACAACGCATTAATGTGTTCCAAAATTTATTTTAAAATTGCTGATTTAATTCTTTTATTTTATTTATGTATTCCCTCAAGGGCCTCACCACTGATTAGTTCTACTGCTTTGTTTTGTATTTTGTATATTTTTATATAAACATTTTCACTAGATTCAATTATACTATTAATTAATTTAGAGGTTCTCACCGTTTATTAGGAATTTCGGTCTTTACCAATTTATATTTAATTTCTTATTTTTATATAAGCATTTTCAAAGATTAATCACTTTGTACAGCGATGTCATCTCTTAGACAACATTCTTTTTCAAGAGCATATCGCCAGTGTCTCACGAAGTTATGGATTCGAATATATTTATCTACTTTCGCCTTTAGAAAACCGGGTTCAGTAATATTATAACGCTCCATATCCATCTCACACCTTAGTCTCAATGGCAGATGTCATTCTTATCATTATTGCATACAGTTGTGGAAAAATAATTAAAAATAGTTTATAAATACTTGCCTCTGAGTTTATTTAAAAGAAACGATTTACCACTACCCCATTTGGCATACAAACCCACCATGATGGGCATAGAAAGGGAAGGTTCACTTAAAATATCAGCCAAAGCGCTACTATACAGATCATAACCTAACATATTTTCATTATCCTCATTTGTATTCAGCCTTCCTAAAAAAAATAAAACCAATTAAAAATAGGTATTTTATTTTTTTTGTCTTAAAAATATATACTATTTTGTACGATCAAAATATAAAACCAATATTGACAGACTGTTATATTGAATGTTAATTACTATTTCATTTCATCACTTTCAGTAGAAGTGAGACACTTCATCAGTGGATTGGAAGTAAAGGTTTGTGTTTCTTCCACATCATGTCACTAATATGGTGGCTTAAAATTACAATTTGGTTAGTACTTGAGTTAATAAAGAATTAATTAAAGAAACACTTTTGAACACAATGCAACTGTCACAAGTGTTAAATGAGTATCAAAGGTGATTTAACGTTTTTGATATAAACGTTATGTTACTATTTACTTAAGTATAAACTGTGAATAATGTTGTACTCTGAAAATAATGATTCTGATCTACGCAGGGTGATCAGTAGCATGATTTGAATATTTTGATCCAGTTAAAGGAAAAATATAATGTACACAAAAATGGATACAAAAACTTACTAGCACCAAAAATTTGCCCCAAAATAGTTTTCTGATGATTCATATCAATATTATAAGGCGTCTCTCCCGCCCTGTTCGGCCTATACAACAATTGACTATTCTTCGGATTCCTTAGTAATATTTCAACTATAGCTTTCGATCTTGCTCTCATAGCTATGTGCAGAGCGGTATCTCCTTTTTTATCTGCCGCCGATACTTTAGCTTTCTTATCAATCAACAATTGCACGATTTCCGAATTCCTGGACCTGACCGCCTTTAGAATTGGCGTGTCGCCGTCTTTCGTCGCCAGTTCTAAGTCAGGATTGCATGTAAGCAGGAGTTTGACGATGCTGACGTTCCCTTTTTCAACGGCTACATATATCGCCGTTTTACGGTCTTTGCCCAGGATGTCCACATCGGCGTATTTTTTTAATAGCACCTCGACTACACCTCTGTGGCCTCCTTTCACCGCGTGGATGAGGTTGGTATCTCCAGAACGGTCCTAAGAATAAAAATCATATTTGCTAGGAACCAGACTTACTATATAGTTAATAATATTTTGACTTACTTGAATATTAATGTAAGCCCCAGCTGACATTAGCGCTGTAGTAATTTCATAATAACCTTCCTTGCATGCTATCGTCAATGGACTACAGCCATCTTTATCTAACGCATTGACGTTAGGTTTGCGTTCTAGAAGTAAATTGACTGCATCGACATGATTTCCGTAAGTTGCCACCAGCAGCGCTGTCCAAGAATACATGCCGGCAGTATCTACATTGGCACCTAAAAGTGACATTTATTGCTATAGAATAAGATAGTGAATTTATATGATTCACAACAATAATAACAATCATAGATGGTATTTTAATGTTTATATAATGCTGGCAAGATGAAACCTTCTGCTTTGCTTGAGTTGAATTAAATAAAATAGTGTTTTAACATATATGCAAAAGAAGAAAAATTATTTAGTGTCAATGTTGCCAGACATCGGTCGGTAGCACGCTGGCAACGTCAATACTGTATCGTTTCCAAGAAGAAATTTATTTACTTATAAAAGAAGTATGTACATATCAAAAAATAATATTAAAAATTGATACTACCGAGTCTTCATCTTTTTGTGCGAGCCCAAAAGATCATGGAATACAAATCCGCCTACAAAACCTATTATTATTATTTATATATTGCAGCCCTCACTCCTGACAGAAACGGTATTATTGAGGGATTATGGTTGTTTTGAGATCGGAAATGGAATTGGGTACAATGATTTGTAGAGTTTTAGTTATGATTTTTGTTCATTGAAAATGCTATAAAAAACACAGGGTTGTCCTTGTGTGTGTTGGTATTGTGCATAGTCTATGGTTGTTTAAACAGCTAACAAGCTGAGTGAGTGGTGGGCCATCCGCCAGGGCCCCGATTGAAAATTTAAAGAGATTCCAATTAGTCAATTAAAAATCTCTTTATTTACATAAAAATATATATACAATGCATTGATTCACGTATACACACAGTGGATTTATTTCACGCTCGCAATCCTGCGAGCCGAAGAATCCTCCCATGCTTGGTTATATTAGACGTAGTTGACGTCCTAACCCGTAATACCTGGCACCAATTCATAATTTGTGACTGTAAGTGTGCCATCTCCTTATCCGGCGATATACTATGGCAGTATTGGCTAGTTTGGGATCGAAAGTTGAAATTAAGTGTGAGTTTTTGTGTGAATTTATTTGTGTATACTGTTCCCTGGGATAAACTTCGAAAAGCCAGAGTTGTCCTTGTGTGAATGTGTGTCATATGTAATAGTCTGTGTAAGGGTGTAGATTAGATTAGGAGTTGGACGTTATTTGTCCTTGTCTACCGCGACCTTTTCAGATCTATTGTGGGACTCCGTAGTAGCTTTGACAATAGCTCCCGCATGTAGTTGCATGCATTTGGCTTTTCTTCGCCCAATGTTAGAAACCTCATTCCAGCCAGGCCTTCACATTGGCACAGGATGCCTTGCACAATGCCTTAGCAACTCCACAGAAGGGTTCGGGGCCTGTCATGGCCTTATCTGAGCCTTCGCGGGCTTATTTGTCGGCCTTTTCGTTGCCCTGATATCCCTCATGGCCTGGAACCCAGGCTAGGGTCACCTTATTCTGACTACTTAGCTCTGTCAGGTCTTCTAGACAGTCTTTCACCAGTCGTGATTTGATTTCTGGTGAGAGAATTGCCTTTAGAGCTGCTTGGCTATCAGAGTATATGGCAATAGTTTGGCCTGATACTTGCTTATTTAATATTTCTCTTGCACAGTGTTGTATGGCTATTAGCTCAGCCTAGAACACTGTTGCATATTTTCCCAAACTCAGCGAAATCGTTGATTTCGACTTGGGTCCATAGATTCCAGCACCGGCTCCTTCCTTGGTTTTTGAACCGTCTGTGTATCAGACGAGTTCAGCTTGTACGGGAGATCCCTGTTTCCAGGATTCTCGGGCTGGTATTTGAATTTGAAAATTTCTTCCAAATTTGTATGTGGTTATGGCTCTATCAGTAGGCGGCGCTATGTAGTTGGCTTATTGGGTTTCGTCCCTGCATTAGCCTGTGAATAGCTGACCTGGTTTCTCCTTGTATGAAGATGTGCAGTGGCGTCAGATTTAATGTGTAAGGGTGTAGTTATTTTACGAGATTGCACAGTGAAATCCATCACCAGAACTGAGTTCGAGGGAGGTCCCGATCTCAGCGCTGGTGAGTGACGTCATCGTGCATTCTACCGTCGGACTAATTTGTCGAGTGCTAGTCCTTTGTAAAATAACTTTTAGTAACTCATCGCAGGAAGGAGAATTCTGCTGAGTTTGTCGTTGTTATTGGTTTTGTGTATAGATGTCTAGGTTCTCGTGTAACCATCCATGCCTTCTGTATCCGGCATTCATGCTGTTATGAGAGAATATGTCTTCCTTCACGTAAGATGGAAGACTATTGTTATAGAATCTATTAGCGGTTTTGAGGATGTGTTCCCTGATAGTAGGCATAGATATCCCTTCGTAGGGCATGTCCTGTATTCTGGCGTAACGGTCATACCCCAAGGCACTTGTTTTGTACTATTTGCAGCCTTTGCATATGACTATGCGCTAAAGAGCAAAAAACTGGAGATCCATACGTTAGTGTAGGTCTGATAATCTGTCTGTATAGTAGTAAATTGTTGCTATGAGTAACTCCGCTACGTCTATGTAGCATGGGGTAAAGCATACATATCATAACCGTGACTTTGTTAATTCTGTCGTCGATGTGTCTTTTGAACGTCAGCCCCCTTTCTAAGATGACTCCGAGATAATTTAGTTGATTAGTGGTTTGGATGTTATCTTGGGGTCTCATTACCCTGTTAGATTGCATTTATGTTAATAAAACAAATTCTGTTTTGTTGGAGCTAATTTTAAATTTGTGATCAAGAAAGAGGACTAACGTTCTGTTAGTGTGAATCTCTGCTGATGCCGATGATTTGTATCCGCAAGTGTCATCAGCGTACAATGCCGTCTGTATCCCATTATTACACATTGGTATGTCATAAGTCATAATGGTATACAGGTGGGGCGAGAGTACTGAACCTTGAGGTACTCCTGCTTTCGTGATGTAAGGTCCTGTGAGTGTGTTGTTGATTTTAATGTGAAAATTTCTGTTATGTAAGTAACTAATTGTTTTTACAATGAAGACGGGGTACTCATTCATGAACATTTTTTAGATTAGACCATTGGTCCAAACAGAGTCAAGGGCTTTGGCAGCGTCTAAAGCCACCAGCACAGTCTCTTGTTTGTTGTTAAACGCTTTTTTGACATGGTGCGCTATTCTGATAACTTGAGCTACTGTGCTATGGCCAGCCCTGAAACCAATTGGTGATCTGACGGCCAGCCCACCGTCCAGTTCTCCGTCGGACTAGATTGTGTAAGTATCTTGTCCGAGTGAGCTAGTGAGCTGTTGTTAGTAAGTTTGGCGCTGTCATAGGATATGTTACTGTCTGTAAATGTACAGTGTATATAGCCGTGTTTTCTACGCACGGGAAGGAAAATTTATTATTTACTTCAACTCAAGTAAAGCAAGTCCAAAGGTTTGATCTTGCTAGCTAGGAAGACATTCCTATTTCAATTTAAAATTAAAATTTAACACCAAATCCTAAAACGAAACAAAAACAGTTTTGATTATTTTTACTAACCTGCTTTTAACAACAACTCTACAATCTCCGTATAACCTTTTCGACTGGCCCACACTAAGGCCGTGGTTCCATATTTGTCCCCAACGTTTATTTTCGCGTTGTGATTGAGTAGACATTCAACAATATCAGTGTACCCTCTACCAGATGCCCATAGTAAGGAAGAAATATGAAAATTGCCGTGGGCATTCACGTCAGCTCCCTTTTCTACTAGAGTTATAACGGTATCAGTTCTGCCTTTGTATGTCGCCCACATGAGGGCCGACCAACCTCCCTAGAAACAAAAATAAAATACAGAACAAGACAGGCACGTATAATTGCTATTATTCTCTTAACGGTAAAAAAAATAAATCGTTATACCTAAGAAGTCGTGGTCAAAATTCGTTTTTGTGCGATATGGCTATCATATCTGGTTTTTTTGCAGAAAGTAGTATCCAGATTTAACTATATATATTCTATAATATTTGAGTATATATTTGAGTAAACGAGGAAGAAAAGTGGTTTTAGGACAAACTACTATAGTCTGAATCAGGCAGCGGTCCGCCTCTATTATGTGGGTGAATAAACACCAATTTCCACTAATTTTAAAGATAACTTAGTGAATTTCAAGAAGTGCTCGGGGTAATGAAGAAATTACTGTCAAAAGTCATCCAACTGATAGTAGAAGACAAAATCAAAGAAAAGAGGAAGAAGCTCTCATGGATACAGAACTTACGATCTGTTAGGAGGAGCCGTGACAAGAAGTGATTGACCAAATTTAGCGTCTTCTAAATGTACTACTATTAGACAAAAATTTCTTGAGTCATCAGACAAAGACAAATCTGTTCAAATAAATGGAACAAGACACATTGTCATAAGTTAAAAGATTGGTGTTTGTGTTCATATATTTTCTGAGATAAGAGACTCGTTCAGTAAGAGTTGTAAACATTTTATTAATAAATAACCATTTCCGACGGACATGTTCGAAAAGTGGACATGCCCAAAGAAACTTTTCAAAAGTACAAAAATATCTGCATGTGCGATCTTGTAAATATCCATTTTATTATCAGATCATACTTTACTAGAAACAATCATAAACTTATAGAACTTTTTATTGAGAACATATAAAATTTTATTGAGCGTTTCTGACTATAAACTTAATAATCGTTGAAATCTGTATTAACTTTTTGATGGCACTTTAAAGATTTATTATTATAGTACTCTGAAATTGCAAAGAGAAATTTCAATACTAAAATAGAGGTTAGCCGGTTTGGAAAAAGTAAAAAATAATTCATTTTCAGAAATCAAAAGTAATTTAAAACATTATGTCCTCTAGCATATATGAACTGAGTACAAGTGTAGACGGTGTTCTAAAGGGTGCATCTTATAGTGGTACAGTTCATCAAATTTCTAGAGGCTTTCGACGGCTAGACAGAGAAAGCACTACTGACAGGCATCCCGACGGATTTACGCAATGAAAGTACACTCTGCGCATCAAGTATTTCACTATTTCATTCAGACGTAAATGTCAGATGTAAATTTCGCTAAAACATTTCTTTTATTTTCGTTTGTGTTTTTTGCTCATTACAGTTTAATAGAACCTAAGTATGGAGTTTAATAGCAAATTAAGAGGCCGCGTGATTAACAGTCAATCTCGCGAAATAATAGCCAATGTTATAGAGTTTATGAGAAGAGAAGGAAACTTTAATTCACCTTCAATACCATTTAAAAATGTAAATGATCGTGTTGCTGCAGCCACAGGAGTATCTAAAAACACTGTCGTCCGCATTTCTGGAGAGAAAAAAAGAATCGATAACCGTGAGATATCGGAATTTTCATCACCAAGAAAAACCATTAAAAAACCAAAAACAGTTAATGATATAGATGAAGCTGCACAAGAATCAAATTTTATTTTTTTATTATTAGATAGCTATTTTTGTTTCTGAGTTGTGTTCATTTACAGGCTCAATTTTTTTCCGTTTCTCCTTTTTGATTTTATATGGGGTTTCAAGTTGTTTTTGACTTATTTCGACGTAAATCACAACAACACACTTTTTTAATAAAGCAAACAAGTGTTAAGAGGTATATGTACGTGTAAACTACAATTACAAAAAATTGATATGAAACCCATGAAACCACCAACAAAAATGTACTAGAACATGGTGTCATTCGTCGAGATAATTTATCGTTTTGTTTAATAGATCAAGAAATGTAAATATTCCCCTGTTATTTTTTATAAAATTATAAGAGAAATAAATTTTTTTCTAAATAGTATAGTTTATTATTTTGTAGAAAAACAAAATTTCGAAAATTTTAGTAATGTTTCAGAAACAACCGTTATTAATAATAGGTACCATTTTCCTTAATAAGGTAGAAATAAAATATAAACTCCACGATTTACAAAGGCCTACAAAAAAATTATAGGTATTTTCCGCTATCCAATAAAATTTATATTTTCTGACTCAATTTCAAAAGGTTGAAGGAATTCCAAAACACCTTTTATGGCATAATAATTATTTTCAATTCTACATACTATCTTTAGCTGCTTTTAAAAACGTTCTAAGAAAGTCCAATCAGACCAATTTAATCCCTAAACTATTCCACACTTTTAAAATTTAATTACCTAAAAATATTAAAAACTATTTAAAATAACTTGTTTAGCAGACTGTACAATAGCTATCTTAGTCACACGTAGCGCGTTCTCTGTCTGGGCGTCGAACACCTCTAGAAATTTGATGAACTGTACTCGATGTTTTTTTCAAATAACTTGACAACCAGGTGACAGATCGCCATGTTTGTTAATGTTTTAGAAACGTCAGTCCAGTACAATTTTAACAATGAACCACCTTACACCACAACAACGTGCTGAAATTGTAAAAATTTATTTTCAAAAAACTCCTGTTGCGTGCCATGTTCCCAAATCGATTGATATCGAAATACGGCGATTTCGACTGGCCGGCTCATTCACCAGATTTGAACGCACCTGATTTTTTCCTGTGGGGATACCTGAAGGGAAAGGTTTATGTCGATAAACCAGCCACTCTCCAACAACTTAAGGCCAACATAGCCGAGAAATCGATGCCATTCAACCGAAACACTCTAAAAAGTGATGGAAAATGACGAAAAACGGACCGATTTATGTGTTGCGTCCGAAGGTGGCCACTTGGTCGATGTCATCTTTAAAAAGTGACCAAATAAATTGTAATGGATCCAATTTCAATAAAAAAAAACATTTATTACAAAAAATTCACTGTTTCTCAAATTATTTAAAAAAAACTTTGGATACCACTATAAGACTTTATAGGACTTTTTGACATGTAAACCCACCGTTGAAAGCAATTAAAAGACCATTAGAATAAGATTTATTGCAGAAAATCGCTGGCTAATTATTTAAAGGTGATAGCACAGTTCTAAAGTACCTAATCACATTATCAATGTTATTTCTGACATAGAAACAACATTTTAAAAGAAAAAAGATAATGATGCAATGTTTGTTCGAAAAAATCCCCTCGGACTACTATGATAAAGTAGACGATTTATTTTAAATTTGAGAAATATTCAAAACAATAATTTTACGTACGATATCCCTATGATCGATGGCGGCATTGTGATCTAACAACTGAAGGACGATATCCGTGTGACCTTCCTTAGCAGCGCATAGAAGAGCCGTCCATGAATCGTTATCGTCTATGTTGGGATCAGCACCGTGGGTCAGCAATTCTCGTACCATGGCTGACTTTCCTTTAGCCGCTGCCACCATAAGAGCTGTCGTTCCATTCTAAACAAACAAAAATAGGTTAAGTAGGTAATATGTATACTTTTAGAAGTAGGTACATAGGTATATATAAAAACACTATTAACCTGCCACCATGCACGCACACAAGTCAAAAGTTATTTATCTTCATAGACAAAATCAATATTTTTCTTCAATTAGAATCAAAGACATTAACAATGGTTCTTTTCAAGGTAACATCACTCGGAAAGAAATACGATAGAGTAAAATTAATTTGCTCTTTAATATATCTATTTTTGGATGTAATTCACTGCACGGCATGGTATTAGCCGCGTAGTAGATCTATTTTCTGAATGTGCGTGGCTACCATGGACACAACAAAAAACGAATGTTAAAAAAAAAGGAGGAGTGACAAACAATTTCTCGTTTTAGAAAATATTCACCCAGGTTGTAGATATTGATAAATAGTCGACTATTTTTATTGGATCTAAATTTTGAGTGTTTTTGATATCAATTTGTCGAAACCTACTTTTGTCAATAATAATTTGAATCCGAGACCTTTGATTATTAATAATAAAATTGCAAAATACACGAAAAATTTAGAAACAATAGAAATAAGCGCTAATTTATTAAGGTCGAGTTATATTTAATGAAATTATTTCTAGAGCCCTAGGTGTAACTTAAATTAATAAATACACAATAAAATAACTTCTATTTTCAGTTAATTTTGAAACGTTTTACGAGATATTTGAGAGTTATTGCAAGTTCAATTAAGGTCAGTCACTATTAGGATCTTATCGATGCCTCGATACTATAGAAGTATCGATATTAAACGATGAAAGTATCGATATTTAGGCATCGATACTGAATTATCAATACTATCGCCTTATCGATACTTAGACGAGCCACCCCGTATATTTCTTATCCCATAGTAATTGGAAAAATTTCCCGAAACACGTCGGATGATTTTCTTTGGGGGACATCTTTTGATGTATATTTGAGGCTTGAACGAGCAATCCCCTATGAGGGGGCGCTTTAACCCCTCAAAATTGAATAGGGACATGGACATACATTATCATGAATGATTTGTGTTTATGTTATTGGGGATAAAATATTTATGAGATATGAGTGTCGCTGTATATACCTATAAACATCAAGTCTAGAACTGACATAAGACACAAAACTAGTTTGATAGGAAAGATTAAATTCTCATTATTGCTCAAAAACAATCAAAATCTTCGTTAAACTATTCTGTTTTATTATATTTTTATATTATTGCTTTTAAAGTAGTTAATATATTCTTTCTATATAGCAAAATCATAATTTATAAGTTTTATTTAGAGGTTAGGTACATAGTTTACGCTTGTTTATACTCAAAATGCTTTACTGACTAGACACAGAAAGACAAGTCTCGACGTAAGACGAAAGTACTTCTCCATAATTACCCTCTACAAAGTTGTTAATTTTAAAATCAATTGTGAAGCTCTTTTACATATGCTTAATTTTAGAATCCCACGCGCAACCTCTCGAAACACTGAATCATTTTACATAGCGACTCCTCGGACAAACGTTCTGAAGTTTTCACCTGTATATAACATGTGTAATAATTATAATAATATTAGTGAACAGTTGGATATATTTAATTGCAGTGTTAAAAACATAAAAACACATTGTTTAAAATAATTTAAAATTTATTTACTGTAATTTTAGATTAATTATCTATATGCTTTTTGTTAAACTGTTTTCTTTCAAATGTACTCCTGTTCTGTAATTGGGTTTAACCTGTTGAACAATGTATAAATAAATAAATAAATAAATAAATAAATAAATAAATAAATAAATAAATAAATAAATAAATAAATAAATAAATAAATAAATAAATAAATAAATAAATAAATAAATAAATAAATAAATAAATAAATAAATAAATAAATAAATAAATAAATAAATAAATAAATAAATAAATAAATAAATAAATAAAGTTGTAAGTAATTTGACAATTTCTGAAATACAACACGCATGCTCAACTCTTACCATACGGACATTTATAAATAGACTTTATTTTTATATCTTAGGTTAGGCGTTAAGTTAAGTTACGTTACAATGGTTATAAATTATACTTTAGGATTGAGTAAGTAAATAAATAAATGTAAGAATAATAGATCTGTAGTAAGAGGACGAAACATCAACCCATGTGCTGTCCCGTCCCAATGTAAAGACCTGGCTAAATTAAAATTTATCTGGGAAGCAAAAAAGTATCAAAACAAGGTATTTTTTTTTTAAAACGAATGAATGTATAATTATGAAATTGTTATATTGATATACATACAGGTTAGTAAAAAGTCTGGCAACAAGGTATTTTAGGATGATGAATGGGATTGTATTACATTATAGTCTATTTTTATGTATGAGAGAGTATTAAAATAATAAAGCGTTCGTAATCCATAGGCGTAGTAGACAGTTAAAATATTTTTTGAAGTTATTCCTCGAGTATACACTTATATTTTCACCTAATTAACCTTCTTATAACTTCTAAACAGCTGAAGGTAAAAAAGTGCAATTTTTTCTAAAATGTTTTATTTTTCCACAAGGTATGTTAAGAACATTGTGTCAAACGGGTTATGTAGGTATAATGGTTTAAACTTTGACTTTTAAACAATGTTACGTTCATAAATAATAATTTTAATATAAAAACTACTTCTTACCTACAAATCAAATCAGAATCGAAATCAGAAGATGAACTGTCGCAACCAATATTTACAATTTTCTCTTCTTCTTTAATCGTATGATTTACTGCCTTTTCCCAGTTTTCAGGCTTCACATTATTTACAGCCTCCAAAAACAACTGTTTAACATCACTCATTTTAAAAGAATTATTTTTTCTTGAAACTTCTCCCTTTATCTGTGCCCATATCAGTTCAATCGGGTTTACTTCGCAATGATATGGTGGTGATCTAACCACCGTCATCCGACGATTTTTTGCAATTTCATCAATTTCATATTTTTTGAATTTCTCTTTATGAAGGGATCACAAATGATACAGTTCTTTTCTCACAGAACCGGGATGGAACTTAATATTCTTTGAATTTAGCCAATTCTGTAAATCTTCTTTTAACCACTTGGTTGTGGGCATTTTTTCTATAAGTCTCGAGTGATAACTTGCATTATCCATTACTATTATACAGTTCTGAGGAAGAAGATCTATAATTTGTTCGAACCTCATGGTAGTCACCGGTACGAGTAGATTCAAAAGTCAATAAACCACCTTTAACAAAACCGTTTGAACTACCGATGTGTACTATTATTAGTCTGCGCCCCTTTCCTGATGGTGGATTTAAACCAGTAGATAAATTATTTAAAAAAGCCTGTCTTCGACTTGTAACAGTATCATCTTGCCAAAATTTATTTGGTTTATGTCCCTCGTTGATCCATGTTTCATCTAAATAAAATATATTTCTTCTTTGGATTCTCATTTCTTTTATAGTCCTTAGGTAATTTCTTCTCCATACTACAATATCGCTTCTTTCTATTAAAATAGACTTTCTGGAATGCTTTTTCCATAGAAAACCTATTTCTTTTAAAAGTTTCCATAGTGTGCTTCGACTCATTTCAGGGTAATCCTTATCATCTCGAACCGTGGCAAGAACTTTGTCTTCTGTCGGAAATTCTTTTCTAAAGAAGAACGCATGCACTTTCCTTCGAAGTCTTTCTTTCAAAAGATTTTCTAATTGAAATTTTGGTTTTCCTGGAGCTTTACGTGCTGTTTGAAACTCGCCACATTTCTCTTCTTTAACAACTCTGTAAATCGTAGATTTCCCAACACCAAGCGTACTACTAACTAATTCCACTGTGTCATCAACACTTTTACATAAATGTTTGTCTGTAAATGATTTAAAACAATTAATGTTTTTTCATTAACTGTTAAAGGACCGATTTTTTGTCGTTTACGCGGCCCTTCCAAATTTTCCATGATCACACTAGAATTCACACTGCACCTTGCAAGTTGCAACTAAACGACATTTAGTAAACTGTCAAGAATACACAACTTGGACCTCCTTACTAAATGGAAAACCTATAATCGCATTTTTGGTGAAATTTGTTGGGAAGGTATTTATCTACTTATAATTCGATTACTGTAAGAAATTCTTGAAATTAAAATAAAACAAAATTGGCAAATAGGTACTTATTGAAAATAATCTTAAGATGTAATCTTTAATACACAGGGCTTTTGACCTGTCCAAATCTTTTTCTATTGTTCTGCAAAGCTTATGTTTATAAAGGACCAATAAAAGACCCAAAACTCAGGTACATTTATTACAATTTTAGAAAATATTTAGATTATTCTGTAAAAATATTTAAAATGACCGTACTAAGTTTTGCATTAGAAATGCTGTTTTATTACTCTCTCATACATAAAAATAGACTATAGTAATGTGTTACTCTTTTAGTATTCTTATAAAGAGGAAAAATAAGTTTTTCTATGATATTCGACCTACGTTGCAATTTAAACAAATTCAAGATGGTGGCGGTATACTAAACGCTGTCGTCACAAATTTGACATACCCTCTAAAAAATTGCAGAATACAACCCTCCCATTCATCACCCTACAAATTATACATTGATTCGTTGCAAAGAAAATATCGTTTTGCCAGACTTTTTCGCTACCCTATATGTTAAGGTGAAGGAGATTCAAAAGCGTGTAGAAGCCAAATAAGCCAAAGTTAACAAGACAGAGTTGATTAACGTAATCCACTATAGATCTGAAAATGTAATGATGAGAAAGACAAGTGTTCAACTATCGTAACTTACTCGTAAAATTAATTTAATCTAGCATCTAAAATTAATTTGCATATGCATGCACATTCAAGTTGATTTCAAAGTCAAACTAGAACCAATTTAGCACTACATAATTTACTTAAGACTGCTGGTTTCGATAAATCGATGTGTCTATTGGTAGTATTGGTCAATCAATAAAAAAAATCCTACTTCCACTTAGGCAAATTATTCGGTTTCATAGGAAACTAAATTATTATCTAACCAAAATATCAACGTATTTAGTGAAATAATGTTTCGCCTAATCACCAGAAAAGCATTATGAAACACAGCTGATGTTAAATGAAAAAAAAAGGTCAAGGCCTCAATTAATCGCTTTAGACAAATTATATATGAAAACAAAACGCGGCAGTAATTTACAATGTATAAATGTATACGCGTTAAACAAGAACAACTCTAAAAGGCAAAAAATATTACAAAAAAATTCGAGTTTTCAATATTTTTAAATGCAACTTAGTTTTTTTAATATGTACTTGTTTCTCTCGGCCTAATAAAAAACAACTTGGCGACAGGTGTTTGGTAACTGGACTGGTCTTCGATCCTGTTTTTTTCCTTTAGTCTTAAGTTTTATCATTGTATTTAGATCAACTAGTAGAACAATACCAATGCAAATTATCTTGGAGGACAATGGACAGTATCAATAGATGGCAGCAAGTTTCGTGGTTTCCAAGTCGTGTCTTTGATAATTTTGTCGTCTTCTACCGAGCCATCGAATTGTGACGATAGTTTAATTTATTTATAGTTTATTTATTTAAAACACACTATTTACAATTTATTTATGACGTACTAATTAATTTATATAATACTTAGACACTAACTCACAATTCTAATTTATTTATTACAATTTATCTTTTCAGTCCAATACTTTCTAAACTACTCGTCCATCGACGAACTTGCGCTATTTATACAAGGCCCACTCTGTACTCGTAGTTTCTAGACGCTCGTGAATGTCACCCGAAAATTCCATCTCTATGACTCAACGGCACGCACCGCCCGTTCTGGCAGTTTCTCAAAGCGTCAGCGGCATACCTAGAAGATTCCGTCGTTTCGAGCATGAGTCGGGTGGCAGACTTCCAAGGTCGCGCTCTACAGAGACGGCTTAGGCATTCCCATGACATTGCCCCCTCCTTAAGAAATAGTTTCTTGTGGAACTAAAACTGAATGGTTGTATCTGCAACTGGACCCTCTTTTACAATTTCCAATTGTATGGAAGTAACAAGGGACAGTCTTCGCAATAACCTGAACGCTGGGAGAATGGCTGCAGACCAGTATTTCAACCTGGGTATCTTGGAAGAGTACTTCCACCATGTTTCTAATGATCCTTCAATTCAGCTGGTTGCTCTCTATCTTTGGCATAGCTAGTTTCTGTACATTTGAATCCAGTACATGCTCCCTCAGACTGAGTAATGCTTCCCATACATCATGATAGGTGGATCGATCTCGGAAGGTGTTCTTTGTTACCAAATAGAAAAGATAACGTGATCCATCTTGAAGTTTCAATGCTTTTCCAGGGGATAGTAACCGATCCTGAAGTTCTGGAAATCGAACAAACTTTTTCCGGAATACAGATGCCAGACCTCGAGCGTCATAGATGTTGGCAACAGTTGCGACCTCTTGATTTAGAATGGCGTACGTAGACTTCCACCCACTTCGTGAAATAATCCATAACCACCATCATGTATTTATTACCATTCTCGGTCATGGGGAATGGTCCAGTAATATTTAAGGCGATCCTCTCAAATAGGCTACCAACTTTGTATTGCTTCATGGGAGCCTACCTTTTTCGCTGAGGTCCATTACTTATAGCACAGCTGGTACATTTCTTACAACAGTCCTTTACATCATCGGAACTGTTCATCCAGTAAAACCTTTCCCGTATTCTCTGAATTCTTAACACCGAGATGTCCTCCTGATGGACTGTTGTGTAACTAACGGAGTACTCTAATTTTACTCTACTTCTTGGAATGACCAACTATCTTCTGTTCTCGGAATCATCATCATTTTCTAGTACTCGCTTTAATAAGCCTTCTTCCAGGATAAAGGAGTACCACTGAGCCCACTATGATTTAACTACTGGAGAGAGTTTCGATACTTCTTGTCAAGTAGGTCGACGATTTTCCTCTTATCCATTCTCTTATCTTCTTTAAAACAGGATCGTTTTTTTGTTCATCCCTAAGTTTGACAGGGGCCCACTCATCGCTGACAACCGATGTTCTTCGTACTGTAACTTCTTTAGCAGATGTGGCCAATCCCTTTCCAATCAAAATTGGGTTCGGAAACGTGCGAGGATGGGACGTTGGAGACGTTTTCGAATACTTCTCCGCTGGGAGAGCGAAAGGGGAGTTATTGGCATCGTCGGAGTATACGTCTCGCGACGAAAAATAATATTAACTTGAAAATTTTAAGCAAAAATCAAGCTCTATAAGGGGACAAAGCCAATTGATTAAAAATCTTATAAAAAGTAGGGGTTTAAGATGGGTTGAAATAAAAAAAAAACAAATTACAAACGAAAAGCGATAACAACCTAAAATTTTTAGTAAAAATGAAGCTCTATAAGGGGGTTAAGCCTATTGATTCTTCTGATTGAAAATGGGGGTTAAGGGGGTCTGTTAAACTGCGAAGAGTATAATGTAGAATGATAAGCATTATATATCTTCATTCTAGTTTCTAGTTTGTATCTGTGTAATGTTATGTATTGTGATGGGACTGATCTTATAAAATAAACATTTAGTTCACTTGTTTTATTTGCCAATAAAAGGTATTTTAAAAATATATTATTTTATTTGATGTGTGAATTGTGAAAATGATTAAATTTACAATAAAAACTGAAAAATGGTAGGTAACGTTTCAAATATTTTTTCTTTTTCTACATAATCTGATATATATTCGAAAATAATCCCAAAATATGAAAAAAGTCAGCTGACTATAATTAATAACGTTTATAAATGGTTTTCAACGTATTAAAAACAAAACAAATATTACAATAACTAAAATATTCATTAATTAATAGTTGTAGTGCTTGAAAACAGTATGATATTGATAATAATAACTACACTTAATACAAACCCCTAAAAAAAAAATAGCTATATTGGCGCTTGTACAAAGTTTTGAACCGAACAAATGATAAAATGGTAAAAATTAAACACCCATTTTAAATTACCACGAGCCGATACTGACAAGACATATATAATTTTTTATAAGTTTCGATGGAACTTCATCAGAATCATAAGTAAACTTATTTTTTAATTTATTAGCTGCAATATTTAGGAAATTACTAGGATTTTTATCAACATCTTATTGGGTGCTATGATTGAACGTTTACGTTATCCGTAACGTATATGTTAGGCCGAGTTTTAACAGCAAAGAGACAAATTCGTATGATGTAAAGCCTTTCATAACACATTACTGTTATTTTCCGCCTGTTATGTTCTAATTTAACAGGTTTCCATCATACAAATTTGCTTCGTTACTGTTAAAATTCGACCTAACATGTACGTTATGGATAACATAAACGTTCAATCATAGGACCCATTGTCTTAATTTAGAAATGGTTTATACGATTTCTTACCTCGTCTTTGTCATCGACTTGGGCTTGTCTGCTCTCAAGAAACGTCTGTAATCCTCGTAAATTATCATCTTGTATAAAATCGTTCAGCGATCGGAAACAAAGTGATACCATGGACTCAGTACGGTGCAGCGTCTACAAAATTAAAAAGACAAAATTAAAGCAAAATGTTCACTTGCATTGCTGTAAATCGTGTGCACGACTGTTAGAAAAAAATATTAATAAATCCGTCAAAAACAATAAGCGATGCGATAAAACTATAGCTGATAAGGGAATGTTTAAATATTAGACAATGCTGAATTAAGTTAGTTTTTGTAGTCTCTCTTATAATGAGGATTTGGGTACAGAGATGTATTTAGTTTAAGGATTAAATAGGCTTAGCTAGCGGAATACTATTATTTTTTTAATAAGATTTGTAACCATGTATATACATGCGTGGTTGTCAAAATAATAATGGAGAGATATTTAAAAATAAAGAAACTACTGAATCGATTAGTGATAAATTTTATGTTCGTCATCTGCAGTCGGTATTAATTATCAGTTTTTGATAGAGGGCGCCGCCAATTACTCACTTATCCAATTTTTTCTCAGTGTAAGACTACAGTCTTTTTTTTTTAAATAAATCACAATTCATTTCAAAGCAAAAAAGGTACTCTTTTCTTTTTTCGCTAGAGGGCATCGTTTTTTGAAAGAAAGAGAAAAAAAAACAGTATGCTTGTATGTCGTATTTTAAAGAAAGCTTACATTATTTAAATCAAATAACTAAATAAAAACAAAGAAATTTAATAATTATTCAACTACGAATATGATGAACACGTGCATTGGGACAGAAAAGATTATTTATTAGGTATGATATCTAGGGTTGAGTCATGAGTTTATCATATGTTTAAGTAAAAAGGGAAATATTTCCAAACTCAAGTGTGACCAAGTTGTAAAATACAATCAAAATAATATCAAAGTCATTCGCCACAATATTATGGGCGGCCGTTTCTATTTTAACAACAACTACACCTTTGGCTAATACCTCACCAAGTATTGAATTACGTTAAAAGAAGCAGAAGTAGAAAATATTCAACCTTTGATTTTGCTTACTAAGTAGAAAGTCATTCTTGGACCGGTTTCGTCCATATAAGGACTCTTCAGTAAGAAATAGAGAAAATCTCGACTCGTCTGAGTTGCGTCGAGAACTAGAGGATCGTGATTTGGAGACGGCAGGGAAAAAAGCAGAATTGGCATAGTATCTTATGTAGCACTAGAATGTGAAGGTTTGGACTTTGAAACCTATAATTTCTTCAATTTTCGATATAAAAAACGATTAGTGTTCTTTAAAAACTGATATTTCTTCTGATGTTTCCTCTATAAAAAATGATATCGCCTCTTTTTTCCTCTGATATTACTTCCTTGGAAACCAAAGTTTCTTCTAACATTTCTTCCTTAGAAAGTAAAGTTTCGTCTGATATTTCTTTCTTGGAAGAAAAGGCGACTTCTTTAAAAACCGAAATTTCTTCAGATTTAGAAAACAAAAACTCATCATTGAAAAATGAAATTTCTGTTGATGTTGAAAACAAGATGTCTTCTGTAAAGGAGAAAATGAAACAGATGGAAAAGAAGATAACAGAACTGGAACAAATAGAATCGGCCAAGGACGGTGAAATAAAATTCCATGAGGTAGAGTCAAAGTTGAAATTGGAAGGATTTGTAAATTCTGTCCGTGTTACAGCCCCAACTTTCGATGGAAATATGTCATGGACCAGCTACCTCAAACAGTTCGAAACAGCTGCCAGAGCAAACGAATGGTCTGAAAGAGAGAAGACAGTAAATTTGGCCATCGCCCTTCGAGGAGCCGCTTTAGATATTCTTCAGGCAATACCTGTGGAAGAGATGGATGATTTTGAACAACTCAAAAAGAGACTAAACATGCGATATGGCTACGAACACTTGGAGCAGGTGTACCGATTACAGCTGAAGAATCGCAAACAGGAACGTGACGAGAGCCTTCAAGAATTCGAATTAGATATTGCAAAGATGGAGCGATTTGCCTACCCATCCGCCCCGCAATACATGATTGAATGTTTGGCTGTTCAAGTAGTTGTTGATGGACTTCGTGACCATGAAATACAAAGAACACTCCGTTTAGCCCATCACAAAACATGCTCAACCCGCTGATAATGTATTCGAGTGAATTAGCTATTGCCATCAGACTCCATTAGAGACTGGAGTCGAAATTTTCTATTTCTTGCTGAAGGGTTCTAATAAGGACGAAACAAGGCCAAGAATGACTTTCTCCTTTGTAAGCAAAATCAAAAGTAGTGTTGAATTTTTTTTTCGTTTGACGTAATTCAAAACCTGGTGAGCTATTAGTAAAAGAAGTAGTTGTTGTTAAAACAGAAACAGCCGCTTTGAGATTATTTTGATTGTATATAATGTTTAAGTGTTTTCTAGAAAAAAATGATATTTTTTTTTTGGCATAGGCCAATCAGCCACACACGAAAAATGATATGGTTAATTAATTTTCTCTCAGAATAGGGCGCCCTGTAGCGAAAAAAGAAAAGAGTACCCTTTTTGCTTAGAAATTATGTTTGATTAAAAATATTGAAAAAAAATGCGATAGTCTTACCCTAAGAAAAGAGTTAATTAAAAAAACCAGCAAGGTATATATGTAAGTGACGCCCTCTTTCAAAGAATTAAAAACTGATGCTGTTTAGATAATTTAAACCTACATCCAATGACATACGCAAAACTTGATACAAACTGATTCAGTCATTTTCGAGAAATCAAAACGTTTTATTAGGGGTAACTTTAAAGTCCCATTTGACACCTTATTAAAGTTCAATTTTATCAAAACAAAAATGCGAATATCTTTATTTTTAAAGATCTCGTTACGCTATTATTTTGGCTGCGTACTTTAGAATGACCCTGTATTGTATACTTACCTAACAACATAGTATAATACAGAGGTTGTCCAATAAAAATACAACAGAGAATAGTGAATGCCATTTCATTATGAATAAATATGGATAAACAATGTTTGCTTTTTTAAAACTACCTATTGAGCAAATTATTTGATAAAGAAAACTATAATAAAAATCCAGATCCGTCTTAACAAAATTTGGTCATTTCTTTTGCCTCATAAACAAAACTGGATAACAAAATTTTGTATAATCTGATAAGATATTTCAAAAGAGTAGAAAATGTGATTTAAAAACATCATTTTTAACAAAAATTTAGGACCTCTTAAACGAAATGCACAAATTTGAAAATACCCTAAACTAAATCAATTTTTTCGTTCTTTTGCAATACCTTATCAGATTATGCATCATTTTGCTATACAGAGTGTTGGTATTGAAGCGAAAAGATATGTCCAAATTTTATTAATCCAGAACCTGGATTTTAATTATGGTTTCTATTGCATATTATTTGATATATCGAAGAAAATCTGTATATGTCAAATTTTAAATTTATATACCAAATGATTGTTGAGTTTTGGCCAAATAAAAATTCATGCAGAATCCATAAAACACCCGGTAACTAGGTAATTAGATATGATAGACTCATTAATAAATGGTATGATTTCGAATTAATCACGATTAATATACAGTATCACCTATCGAACGCTTTACAATACGCCTTTGCACAAGTGCGTGTGAAAACTACAGAGAATTGGCATTAGAGCGAGCAGGAAACGAATAATATCAGCGATGCCAGTTTATATGGCCTGACCAACGTTACAACGCTGTATAAACCGACAATGCTGATATTATCCATTTCCTGCTCGTTCTAATGGGAACTATCTGTAGTTTTCACATGTTCTTGTACAATGCGTATTGGAAAACGTTCAGAGGCCGACACTGTAGTATGTACATTTCAGATCGAATGAATTGTATATTCTTCGCTTAGAGATCACACCTGAATGTACATGAAAATTTGAGTGACTTTCATTAACACTACATATCATAATTTTAAAAGTAAATAGTTCTATATCAAGCAGTAATTTGTTGATTGATTTAATATCACGATCTGATTGAACGAAAATTATTTACAATAATAAAATTTCAATGACAATTGAAGACACAAGTGGATAAAGAAAGGTGTCATGTCACAATTTTTCAAAAAATGATTTTTATGACCTAATATACTATATTTTTGTTTGTGATAGTTCTGATTTCCAATTTTGATAAATAACGCCTATTCATCAGATTGGAAGGTATCATGAGCCATATATATCATAATGCAAGTGTAAAACTTTAAACTTGTTTTTGTTGAAATAATATTTTTGTTACATGACCTTTATCCACACAAAATCGATTGAAATTTTGTAGCAAAACTAGACGTTACATTATAACAATTTAGAAAATAGACACCTCTGTATAAAACAATAAATATATAAAATACATAATAAGTGCAACTGCTGCAACAACCTATTGTGTTTTATCTTAAAAATATAAATATTTATGAACTCTGAAAAAAAAACTAATTATTATTGTTGTAATTTTCTTATAGTCTATAAATTAGTAATTAAACATTATGTTAAATGCACTGCAAATAAAAAACTCCAGCTGTTAAATAGCAATTTCAACATCTAGCAAAAACATTCTACAACATAGTAGAAACACCGTGTCACCACTTATATCAAACTCCGAGGGGTAAACCGCAGAAGAAATTAGGTGTAAAAGGGAAGGAAATTGAGAGGAATTTACCGTTTTAAAGAAATTTAAGGAATTGAGAGGCACTCTGGCAAAGAATTACAGAGGAATTACGGTAATTCCCGAGTAATTGCGTGAATTGATGAGGAATTGCTAACGAATTGCAGGGAATGTTAAAGAAATTGCGCGAATTGTACAATAAAAGGAAATATGGTATACAAATTTTGGCCTACGGTTTTTTGTTAATATTTTCAAAATAGAGGCCTTCACACTCATAAGATGATTTAAGAGCCAGGTATACTTTCTCTACCTCGACACATATCTTCCAAATGAGACCTCTATTAAAGTCCAAATTACATATTTTCCTAAGCGATTTCACCTAAATGTTGGTGCATCATTCTCTTGTTTATGTGTTCCGGTGAAATCCATTTGTCCCAACGGTTTTAATTGGTTACATAGACTTTTATTCAGGACTTTTACATCCGTAATCATAAAGCATTTTTAAATAGTTAACTACTCGTAAAACCGAAAAGATTCAATGAAAAGGTAGATGTGGACGATGGTGTGATTTTTCAATCACACTTTGAATCGTTACTGTGATAAGAAAAATTCAAATAAATGAAGTTGTTTCCTTAAATCAGTAACAAATTATATTCGTTAAAATTTTTCTGGAAAGCATTTAATAAAACTACAGAAAAACATGTAAAGAACGTCAATTTAAAGTGTTACATGTGGGTACATTCTTCACCAACGCATCTGAAGGCGCTAAATCGTTGATTTTTTTAATATTGGTTTGTAAACGGTAACAAGGTGTTTCTAGTATTAACTGATGAGTTCGTCTACGTTAGTATCACTCTAAATCACTTTTTTGGCAAAACTAACGTTATGCGAATGCCTTCTGATTCCCAGACTGAAGGAGAACTTGCTGTGGCTCTGATCTCCATCCGGAGAAGTAAGAGTAAAGGTGGGCAAGTGCAGATGGGTGAGGGAACCCTTCCAATTGTATTCCGGGATGTGGAGATTCAAAAAGGAAGGCCGACGTCGATCCGGTGACGGCGAGGGGGTAACGGCGATGCTGTGACGGGGTAATCGCTTCGGCGAGCTTTCCGCCGAGATTTTCGGCGAGCTTTCCGCCGAGATTTTTTTCGGCGTGTTTTCCGCCGAGATTTTCGGCGTGTTTTCCGCCGACATTTTGTGTCATAACTCTCCTCTTCTTCTAGGGATATTTAAATTAAAAATTATCAATTTTAACCGCTTTTAATAATAATATTAAATATCAGCAAGGTTGCATATTGCATAACTCCAAATAAAAATTAAAATAAAATAAATAATATCAAAATTCATAAATATTGTATACAAGTATTATTCTAATTAATATTAAATGTAAATGTTATATACCATTTAAATGTATAAAGTGTTGACATGACGTGGGTAGAACTTACCAGTTGCCAAACAGGCATGTGATTTTATTGTTACCTAGTATGTTATTTTCGTATGTATTAGAAAAGATTATTCTATAAATAGAACATGGACAACCTTTTAGGGTATGATCCGTTATTAACCGACCACTAACCGCTAGTAAACAGGATTTTTTGACAGCGGTTCCTGAAAAAAAAAAAACTAATTTCTTGGTTACTTTTGGACTACGGCTGACAGTTGCGTCAATTTTGTGACAGATTGACATTCAACTTAATGGTAACCGCAAAAATATACCGGTTAGTCAGTTGACATTTGAGTCACCATTTTCAGGTAACCGCGTCCCTAATTTACCCGATTTTTCAGGAATGTCAAGCAGAGCGGTTAGTTTTGGACCGAGTAACCGATATTTCTGTTAATAACGGACCATACCCTTAGATTGTTCTTGTTTAATTTTTGACAGTTTTGGCAAAACTTTGGTTTTTGTAATTTTTAGAATATTCGCTTAAAGAAAATTGTTTATCTTAAAAATAAATAAATAGTATTAAGAGAAAGTCAAAAATCATTTTCGTTACAGTTCGGCTATTGGACTAAATCTCCGGCCAAAAATAATATTCACCATACACACACTTATACTGTAAATTAAACATTTACGTAAACATATTTATTTTACATCTCAATTTAATTTTTAAAATGTCAAATGAAACCAACGTGACCTAGTTTTTTTTTTCATATTCACCTTGATCTTTTTTATAGCCAAAAGGTTTTACAGTTGATGGATATTATTGAACCTTTGCCAAATTTTCTTTTCTCCAGACTGTCTGCCGACCCACGAATCTTTCAAAGATATATTTTTAGAGAGAATTGTTTTTTGTTTTTCTCCGATAATAAAATATTTTTGTAATTCGAAAGATTAAATTATTGGCAAAAAACAGTGATGCGTGAGTTACAATTTTTGTTGTGACATACTTGTCTGTGCCTAAAGGGTGAGTCAAAAATTGGCACATGTACAACATGAATACTTTTGATTTACAAGTGGACATATTTATTTAATTTATCTACCCAGAAAAGATTAATTATTCAATTTAGAGAAAATATTACTTTGACAGGTCTTAAAAATATTCGTTTGTGTTTTTCTACGTGTTTACTGTATTTCTTTTAAGGTTGGTTTTTAAATTTGTAAAAACAAAACAAAAAGCTATCACAGTGTGCCTAAATACTCCTTCAGCTTTATGGAAACGTTTGAACAAAATTTGTGGAAATGAAAAACCTAAAATAGAAGTAGAAAAATTATTAAGAGAAAAGAGACAAGAAATCGAAGATAAAAATGATATTGCAAATAATTTTAATAGTTAATATAGTGATCTGGGTCCAAACTACGCTAATAAAATAACATCTCCAGGTGATTTTGACGAACAATTAATTGGATACCCTATACATCTGGACAACTTATGCCTATATCTGGATTTAACAAATGAAAGAATAATATAAGAGCAGAGACAGTAATATAAATAAAAATAAATATTTATGTAACCAGTTACGAAATGCCTTATTTTGTGTAACGAGTAAAAATTTGCAGGACGAGCGAAGCGAGGTCCCGCAAAATGAACGAGTTAAACAAAACGGCATTTCGTAACGTGTTACAAGATTTTTTTTTAATTTTGACTTGATTATTTAAAAAATTGTGTTTGGTTAAAAAAATTATTCATCATTTTTTTGTAGGTAGGTACTTTCAATAAAATATTTCAGAAAATTGTTGTTTTTGATTGCTCTACGTTTTTATTTTTCAATCGTAATATTAAAAAAAAATTTCATATGGATTCAACTTTATCGTACACACTGTATATTCTTCCAACTTGGAGCGATTGGAGACAGTTTAAATTAACAAGTGACATTTATAACTTTCGAAACGGTTTTCGTTTTTCTCTTATAACTCGAATAGCATCATCTATTTTCATAAGGGAATAAGGACACGAATCTCCTTTATAATTTAACTCGATTTTTTTTTGTTTCCAGCATAACATTTTGTCTTTTCACGACTTTAATGTCATGAATTACTACTGTAATTATATCAGTGACAAAATCACTGTGACATAAAATATCGTCCATCCCTATTTCGTGTTTCTTTACAAAAAAGTCATGTAATTATCCTGTATATAGGGATTTCGTTCGTCTTGAAATTGCCTATCGATCCCTCATTTTCGATTTTCGTTTTACGTCTTGATTTTTCCGGAGTTCCGATCCAAAAATTGGTGGTTTTTATGCAAAAACGTAGATTTCCGGCACGAAAGTGATCCTACGGTACGCGAGATTGAAATTTTACCAAACTTTTTTATGGGAAAATATTAGTCTTCAAAGATCCTTAAAATGGTCATAATAATAGTATTTAGCATAATTTGGGGAGTCTGACTGCGGTTTCTCACAATTTTGGAAAACTGGTCTCTATGGTGGAGAAAATGAATTCCACAAACGTGTTTATAACCTTTCAGAAAACTGAGCTTTTTGAGAATTTGTGGACTTGATGGGAGCTCAAGCAGTTATTTCATAATACTAAAAATAGTTAACCCTGTCTCAGGAATCCAGATAATTTTTTGAGCATTTTTGCGTATATTCGTTGGTTTTGGATCAAAATGACCAAAAACAGAAAGATCAACATAGTGTCTAATTGTCTTCAAAACTCCAACCATCCATTAGATGCTATCATGCATTTTTTTCAGAAAATTATTCATGGTTCATTAATGATGACCTACTATATGCAAAATGGTCACTTTTATCAATAAATTGAATTCCTCGAAAAGTGTTTAGAACCATTTATGGAACCTTTCTGAGGCTTTTCAGAATTTCGGGAAAATCTGGAAAATGGTCGTATTTGCACATTTTATGAATATCCAAAAAAGTGGCCAAAAATTCTAGTAAAATTCATGCGCATTCCTCGAATGAGTACAAACAATGTTTGTTCAATGAAATTTTTTCCAATACTATCCTAATGTTTAGTAAAACGCGCTTCCTGTTATTTGAAAATTTTTGGATGATTATGACCATTTCAAGGGTAATGGAAAAGTTTTGACCGTATTCCAAGTACAGAGTCTTTTAGGGTCTTTGAAGACGAACATTTTCCCATAAAAAAGTTTGGTAAAATTTCAATCTCGCGTACCGTAGGATCACTTTCGTGCGGAAAATCTACGTTTTTGCATAAAATCCAATTTTTGGATCACAATTCCGGGAAAATGAAGACATAAAACGAAAATCGAAAATGAGGAATCGATAGGCAATTTCAAGACGAATATTTCAAAAAAAATTCACCTCCGGCACTCCAACCCCATAAGGTGTATAGTAATTTGGGTGGCACAGTGGCGCTTAGCGTTTTATTAAAATTAATAAATTATTTATAATTAAAGTATAAATAAAAATAGAAATCCTATTATTAATCGATTCTACTAGACATTTTAATGTATATTTAAGTTTAATAACTAAAAAATATACTGATAATTCGTTTGACAGAATTGTTACTTATTTTAAATTTTAAAAATAATAGTCGTCAGGTGATCAAAATATGAATTGTTATTGGTGGATTTAATTTTTTTGCAAGTTCTTACTGCGTAGAATGGATATAAAATATATTCAATCAGTTGTCAATAGTATACTTTTTCGTTTTGTAGTATGTGCGTAGATAAGCTAATATCCATGTGGGTGTAGAAAAATATATATCCTAATATTTTTTTTGGCGATAAGAGCAACTTATTTACAATTTGTCTCATTTTGGTGTAAGGTATTCATTAATATTTAATAGAAGGGTTTCAAACTTAAATAAAAATTATCCTAATTATAATAGAAATTTTTGAAAGTTCGTATAATATATAAAAACAAAGTTAGATTGCGACAATATAAAAAAATAAAAAAAAAGAAAAAAATAGCAAGCAATGTCGGCCCACACTAGGTTTAGCGCCATAAAAACAATAAAAAAAATTCCGAATTTTAAAAAATTGATGGTTTTCCTCTAAAAATCTGAAAAACTTCGTGAAACAACAAAAAAATGTTTCGTATTTTTTGTTTCTGAAAATTACATACAAAAATTAAATTTTACAAAAAAACGCCGCATTTGATCAAATATTGAAAAAGTTATGGGTATTTGAAAAAAAGACCATTTTTTAAATCATAACTGTTTTGGGTTGGGTGAAAATTTTTAAGAAAAGTCTGAGAAATTTTTTCAGTGGGGTAAATATATTAAAATTGATCGGGTTCAAAAGTGGTCGATCTGGCGTGTAATATCTGTCATTTTTGTATATTTACAAAATTATTAAAAATTGTATGACATTTCGTTATATTGAGTGATAAAAAAATAAACATTATTATTATATTACCTCTTGTTTCGAATTTTATATAAATACCACACAATTTTAAAATTGAATATTTATTTATATTAAAACCTAATTTATTATTATAAAACATTATAATCTACTGCACCGATTTAAACAAAAACCAACAGTTCATATCTTAATCTTCCCGAAACATTAACTAATCTTGTCGAAAAAAAAAAACTAGCAATATTTTGTTTTAACAGAAAAAAATTATAATCAAAATATTTATTCATAATAAAACTTAATTATTTAAGGAATTAATTTTTGTTTTGAATATAAAGAAAAGAAAAAGTAGCGGACAAAAAAAATATAAGTGAAAAACCCAATGTGAAGTTAGCAGTAACTTTTAACAGATTTTTGAAATGTAGAACCAAGTTGGGATCTGATCGTTTTCATAGGATTATTATTTATTTTGAAGTTTAAGGGTTAAATTCACCCTGTT